TTTCTTGACTTTTCCGTGTAAATTTCTCAATGAGAAATAACCGATTTAAGCGGGTTTTTGTGCTCACGATGTTAATTTGTGACTTCATTGCATAAAAATAAATACGTTTGAAAGCTTCTATAAAATAAATGCAACTTCTTGTGCTTTTGTTTGTTGTACACTGCTTGTCTCAGGAAGTCTGATTTTGATCAGACGAAACGTTACAGAAATAAATTTGTATTAGTGTGCAGCAGGACTTTTGAATTGCATAGTTCATATTAGGGTTAGTTCGGATACCAATATTTTTTACTATCCGGATAACGGATATATATCCGGGTATTCTGTATTTTATTTAATCGGGTAACCGGATAGTTACTGCTAATTTTAGAGAATACATTTCACAAGATTTTTGCGGTGAATTGACCGAAAATCAGCACACAGTTCTATAGTATAGTATTTTTTGTTCTGTTTTTTTTTGTTTGTGATTTCTTGCACGACGAAATATTGAAAAACTTTGTACATATATACTGTAATAGCGTACATGTAAATGAAATCATGAACACACAAAATCATGCATTTCGAGCATTTTATTTCGGTGAGAAGTGCCCAGGAAAAATATATTACAGAGGGGACAAAGTCCGTGACTTTTTAATGACAAGGAAAAATGATGATATTGAAAAAGACGTACTAGTCAGAAATTCCTTCTAAATTGAAAAATTCACCTTATTAAAATGTCACTTTAAATATTCTCACGTTTGTACCAATTAGGCCACAACTCAAAATCTAATTCGAATACCTTTTACTAAATTAACAGAGCCAAAACAATGCTGCACCAGTTTTTGAACAACTTTACTAGAACAATTTCATTTACTAGGTGAGTAAATGAAAAAAACATGACACGATACAAAGTCTGTCAAATTATACTTTGCTGAAATATTATAGACAATCCTGCAAACAAATTATTTTGGGAAAGTTCCATGAAAACTACAAATGTAATAACATCCCTCCTTTTTAAAATTTTCAAAAAGTCACTAATGAAGGCGCTCGAATTTTGTTAGCATTGCCGATTGTTTTCTTCCGCGTCGCGTGATTATTTGGGGAATTAACATCGGCATTATGCCAATTTTAATTTTATAAGAAGTTACATCCCGTGAAAAGTTACCCTTGTTGCAAATTCAGTAAATACGATTATTACGAAATTTTAGCGATTCAACAGCGCCTAGAATGGCGTTTTGGTTTATCTATCATTGGCTCATAAATCAAGAGTCGTGATAATTTTGTTACCATTTACTGCCAGTCAAAAACGTGTGTTTCAGATTCACTCTTTTAACGATAGATAGATACGACGATAGATAACGTACTACGGCGATTTCAGTTCCGGGCGAAAAAAAACAGTTTTCGGCTTTATACAGCGACGAGACCGCACCCCACTTTTCTCCCAAATATGTTGATATATTAATATCTGCATTTATTGTACTAAATAAATTGTACTCATTGGAATTGCAATAATAGCTCAAATTTGATAAATTTGCAAGGTCTCAAAAATGCGAATTGAAACTGGATTTATTTGTGCAGATCACCACGTATTTTCATATCTAGAGTAGAAGTGCTTTTATTTGAGCGTAAGTCGACGCAATCGCGAGATACGTTGAACTCAGTTATCATGGAAAGACATTTTAAAATGCTGGAATCGGTCACAAATTGAATAATTTACGCAATAGAAAAATTGTTATCAACTGAAAAAGTAGGCGGTATTATCAGCGAGTGTCATGATCGCAGCGACATCTTCTCAAATCGTCGCAAAGTACCTATTTATTATATATATAAGTATATTTTACATATTTATTTTGAACTACGCGACGTAAAAAAAAATCGAGCGGTATGTAATAGTGAAGTTCACTCCAGCATTCCACGGATGGCTTAAATATAGGCAGTGTGAATAAAAATTGGTCTTATATGCACTGGGAGATGTCAGTCGCCATTCAACAAAAATATAGAAATCACTAATGCACATATGCATTATTTAATCTGCTCTGTTATTCGGTTAACTGTCACAATAATATCCGGATATCAGATAGCAAAATAACTCTCGTTTAACCGGTTATCCGGATAATCCAACCCTGGTTAGTATGCTGTGTTGTTGTAAACCTGTGGTTATTGATTTTCTCGGAATCCCTTTATATTAAATTTTGCATCAGGATTTTGACCGATGTACTTGTGTTTTTGTACTCACGATGTTGATTTGTGATGGCTTCTATAAAATGCATGCAACTTTTCAAGCTGTGTCGTTGTAAACCTATGGTTATTGATGTTCGGGGAATACCCTTAATCCAACTGCATCAGGAGTTTTGAAGCATGTTTTACAGAAAATGTGCAGCCTTCGAAAGGGAACAATCGGTAATGCGTTCAGTATGTTCATTTTCATATAACACTAAAGAATTTGTTTAGTTCCCCACATGCACATATTATCTGGGCTTACTTGGTTAATACCCGCAAAAGTCCGACATCAAGGTTACGAATACAATACGTGAGCTACAGTCACAAGCGCAAACGGTTATAACGCGAATAAATGTCTTACATAGCAGATTACAATTTATTCTAAGAGTTGATATTATCAGATTTGGTATAATCTTGACATTTTTCAATCATTAGGTCCGTGGCGCACAGTTCATGAACCAATGTACAATACCGTTACATTCGGCTTGGCCATGCATCCGCAACAATCGTGAACAATACTTCGATTGGCGCGTTTTGCCACACTGCGAAGCATTGGCATCAATTTGGAATTGGGTTATTCGCCTAACCTGCTCTCAGGCATTGCAAAGACGACATAACCTGTTGGTTGTTTGTACATCGATATGACCGCTAGCAGAATGCTAAAGTTAGTAACGAGTACCAGCGTACGAGAATACGCATCTCATCGCAATATGGAAGCACGTCGACAAATACAAAGGTAGGCAGGCCTATAGACCAATTAAAATGGCAAGTGCAGTTTAGATTGACCTAAGGCAGTGTTGGCCAGTCTAAACGTGGTTATATCAATATCGTCTTGGCAACCGCACATGTCCTAGCACAAGAGTGTGGCCTCCGGACTGTTTTTTGCGGCCCGCTCAATAAATTTTGTAAGCAAACTTTTTAAATTTTTACTATGTTATATAGGCTTAAGTATTTTTCGTGATTTTGGTGTGATTATTTCTACTAGCTCTCTACATCCAAATGCCAGTTCTTATTATCACGTATGTGTCAAGTCTTACGCCCTGCTGGCTCCTGGACTCGTTCTTTTATGTTTGTATTTTTGTTTATCTTATGTTTGTGTTAAATAAAATTTCGGAAATATCGTTACTGCGTATCCGTCAATAATTCTGATAAAATTGACTTAATGGCAATTCTACATATTCAAATTAGTATATATTTTCGCCCAGAAGTCTTTGTGATGTTTCTTCAATAAATACTTGTACTGATGTTTCAAATATTACGAAACAGCCCACTAAAACTTGATGTTCCCGCAACATTGGCGCTCATTGCGCTCATTTAAACATTGAGACAATATCATAGCCATTGAATATAAATAAATAAAAAAAGCCATGACTCAAATATAAGACTCAATTTTGAGGTCTTTGTTCGTTAGTGAAAACTGTGTGCAGATTCTCTCTCATGTGGTCGTCAGAATCCCACAAGTGCGTTTTGTAATAATTGATTTTTTGATTCAGCGGCCCGCGAGAGTCATGTCCACGCCCCGTGTTACTAGATATTCGAATAGTACTTAAACTGCTATTCTATTATTCGACTTAATATTCGAACATTTTGCCAGCACTAATCAGTAACCAGTAAACGAGAATATTGGTGGAAGACTGAAGACTTATCGATCGAAAGTTAGGGGATCTCCCAAACAGAAACTGCGGTTTCGATTCATCCGCTCTTACTCAGCGACACCCTGTGTCCATCACTAATTAATTGATAACTCGCTAGTTATACGATATAATTCATCCAGAATCAATAGGCTCCTGGTCTGAGATATGATGAATGCACATGCAAAAGCAGAGCAGATTCAACCTCGCTTTCGTGAGATATCGCGTGTATCAAACAGACAAATATCTATCATCATACCTACCGATCAAGAGCGATAGGTAATAAATATTAACTTGATTTATTTTATGTTAATAATCTTGCTATTCATGTGTTATGTAAATTCTAACAAAATCAGGACTTGGATAATATTAAAGTTTGGTACAAACGTTTGCGGCCCGCATCGAATTTCGTCATGTGAAAGTGGCCCGCGAGACGAAAAAGATTGGGCAGGCTTGTGACCTAGCAGCTTTGCAGTGCGGGCGTACTACACACGGAATAACCAATAAAGTCCGAACGCGTCGATATGCTTAGCGAGGTAGTCAGAGAACAAATAAATTTCGGGCGGTAATATTGTATTTTCATGCGATTCTGGCTGAACGTGTAAGACAAAGGCAAATGGACAACAAAACTGCAATCGCGATTAAATGTGGCAACGACGACAGTTAACATGGTGCCGTGTGGAAGACCAGAAGGTATTGAAGTGGAAATATTTCCTATTGACTGCTGTGTCGATGAAGCAATACCCATAGACTGCGATCTACGTGGAACATCCTGGGAAGCCTAACGAACCAATAATGATTAATATAGGTCCAAGAGCAACCGGCGCTATTTCTTTCGCGGCTCTTTTTCTTCGTGAAAAATAACATTTTTTGTTGTTGCTGTAGATACCGCACTGCACTGTCGAAAGATAAAAATCTATTAGAATTGTCTTTTTGTCGCAGCAAGTGCTTTTTGTAAAATGATGTATAAATCCCATGTACAAGAGTCACAAAATTTAAACGATTCAGTTGATCTACCTCAATGTTTTATCACATGACTTCAACTGCAAAATGACTAACAACAACAGCCTACATAATGGAGGTGTATTTTATTCAAAATATAATTTAAACTCTCTTATTTCAATACTCATTCAAACAGAAATATACAGGTTTAAGGAGGCGCTCATTAAATTATTTCTGTAGGCACAATTTATTCTGTATACTTCTAAAAACAATATTATTTCTGGTTCATTGAGATGGCTCTAAGGTACAAAGACAAAATAACGTTGGTCACTGGCGGAAGTAAGGGGATTGGCAAGGGAATCGTCACAGTCTTTGGTAAGATACATACATACTTCACGGTTTATGCGTGGTCAAATTCAATAAGACGTGGTGAAACTTTGAATGGGGATGGACATGTTTATTTCTTTTATATATATATATAATATAAGTTAAATGAAGTTAAATGTCGCACAATTAACAATGAAACGATGAATGTAAGCAATGTTATAAACATTCTTTTTTCGGTGCCAAGAAGATTTATATTTGGTTTGAAAATGACTCTGGCGTAAATTTATTTATTGATACACTAACTTTTAGTTGAATTGTGAATATTCTCAATTAGTTTTTATATTCGGCTATTAAAAAAAAGAAATATAATTGTAAATAAATGAATATTATCACAAAGTCAGTTTATATTAAGTGCAACAAGGCGCCAAAGTTTGCTTTTGCGCTCGAGATGAAGATGTTGGATTAAAACTAGAAAATGAATTAAATGGGAAATATCCCGGATCTTCCTTTTTTGTAAAATGTGACGTCGCTAAAGAAGAAGACATTGTGGTATGTATGATTGTTTTATCCAACTAGATAATATTATATCATAATAATTTTTAGGCTGTTGATGGGCGCTAAATGCTTCCAGTTACTTTTTGTGCCGGTTTTCATTGGCTGCTCATCTACTTCATCTTGACTGGCACCCAGCCTGAGAGCATTTACAGCCCAAACTTACTGCGACCAAGCGTTACTGAATTAGCAATCGTTACAATGTTTCATCGTGTGGTGAAGTTTTCTTCTAAGATTAATATCGCCATTGTCTTTCATTCCAGCTTCCGTATTGCCATATATCACTTAGAATGCATGCATGAATCGCTCATTTCACATTACATAATATTTGTTGTTTTATTCCCGGTATTTAGAAAGTTGTTAACGCTACTGTGGCTAAGTTCGGAGAAATTAATTGCCTTGTGAATAATGCGGGAAGACATCCACCTGATCAAAAGATTGACGATATTTCAGCAGCTGAATTACGAAGTTTGTACGACACGAATGTTGTCAGTTACTTCCTATTTGCCAAAGTAAGTCACGCATTAGAAAGATTTACCGGGCCATAGTTCTGGTTCGTTGCATCTCCAGAAACAGGAGTTGGTGTGAGCAGGTGTCTATTAGATTGATTTCTATCGAAACTGATTGATAATAGTCTTCAAGTCCAATGAACATACACGTTGGTTATATAAAGTACCCGTTTTTGCAAGAAGCTTACAATATTGGTATCAACTATACTTCTCTTATAATCGTAAATCACGCGAAGACAGCCGGTATTATGCATGAACGCAGATGTTAGTGTCTCATTTAGGCGTTGTCAATTGGTAATAGCTTTGTACATCAATTAACCACAATAACGTCACGTATGGAGTGCATTTGCTGTTCCCCTTTTCACTGTAGCATTGTATTCCACTTTATTTGGGTTGTCTTGGGTTGCCATTTAGGAATAAAACTAGCTGACATAGTCCTGGCATGATGAGGGCGTGTGTATATAATTGTGCTTCAAATCACTGAAAATATGTGATAATCTAAGCTTGAATACTTTATGTTTTCTCGCGACCTAACCTAATACATTAATAAATAGTCCTCGGAATTGTGTGTGGTGGCATCATGCGCATCAAATTAAATATTTGCTTGTTTAAAAGGGTCAAGCCTACAGACAATTACCTCAGTATACTTACAAAAATTATGAATTAACCGCATAACTGTCGAACCCTATTGTTGGTGATGATTCATCGTCTTAAACAATGCTGTTTATGCTGCCCAATATTTATTTCGCATTCTCGTCCTTATCTATCCGTTGACCTATCTATTGACTATACTTGATAAGGCTCATCTCAGCATATTATTGGATTACTGCAACGATAGTTGACGATGCAACTTATATACTGTGATTTCAATATTCACATTTTACACAAAGACTTCAAACATAGCGTAAAGTGCTAATTTACTAGCTATTTTCAAGATATCTCCACCTACTGTAGATACCTCTACAAAACTTATAACTGTGATAACATAACACAAACTGCATAATATAATGATACGGCAATTAGCAAGCTGATCCTGGTTCCCTTTTTGTCAAACTCAGCCCCATGGCCAGGCCAAATACGTATAGCTCCGTTCTCGTAAAAATTCATAAAGTGTAGGCTACCAAAGGTAATATCCCATCCTATAACTGAAATTTTCTTTGTATACTTATCCATATACAGTATGCATTGCCAAGTCTTCGGAAAACTAAAGGAAATATCATAAATTTATCAAGTTTAGTAGGAAGTATGGGACAACCTAACGCTGTTCCATATGTATCAACAAAGGTAAATAGTAGTTTTATACATTTACGTTTTTAATGATGCCTTCGTTGTTTGAGCATTAGACTGACAGGCTGCATCTCATGATTCGAAGAGGACAATGTGACTCGAATGAATCGTATTTTACTTACAATATCGAATTGCACAATTGTTTTGATATTTTTTTGCTGAGCAACAACCAGATTGCGGATATATACTTATTTTCAGGTATATAGCCATAATTCCGTTATTATTCAATAGCCGACGGAACAAAAAATATCATGGTTCGAATTCATTTGCAATACCTGAGGTCTATTTTGTTTTTTCTTTTGTTCAATTTAATTTTTTATTTTGTCTGAAATAGTCTTTAGTTTGGAACTGCCAAGATATTTTTCATGATCTACGAGTAAGACTAATTTATACTATGTTTTAGACATAAATGTTTTATTTGGAATAACTCAGATTTTATTGAATTTTTGTGACAATCTTTTGGTTTAAGATTTTGCAAAAATATTTTTGGCACTTTCACCGTGGATTATTTTGTCCCCCAAGCACGAACGCTAACTTTCTGATTTGTATTGAAAGATTGATTTATTACAGGGCGCCATCATAGCCATGACAAAGGCAATGGCTATTGACGAGGCAGTCTACGGTGTACGAGTCAACTGTATAAGTCCAGGAAGTGTTTGGACACCTATGTGGTCAAAACTGGCGAACGACGCAATAGATACATATCAGACGACCCTAGATGGCGCTGAAGCACAGGTAAACTGAGTGTGTCACATCACAGGCCTTTGAATTTCAGCGGCGCAGACAAAAATTCTGATATTATTTGGTGATTTTTGTGTAATTTTCAAAAAAATCCGTGTAAAATTTTACTACCAAGTTTGATGTTTCCACGAGGCACTTGACGACGGATTTGACAAGTGCTCGCCAGATCGAAATATTTCTTCGTTGAGAGAGAGTAATATAATATAATTATAAATTTCGTTACTATTTATGTAACAATGATATTCTTATACGCATTTCTAGAACTATCCGCATCTTCGAAGTACACATCAGCATTTTTTTACTCGATTTAGTTTAGGTCATGCATTCTTCTTCTACTTATATCTTTTTATATATAGATTGGTACTCGCGAATCAGCGACAATGCATGTTTAGAAATATTTCAATATGAAACTGATATTGTGTTATTTAGCTGATGGGAAGATTTGGTTCTCTGGAAGAATCTGGGAATCTCGCTCTATATATTGCAGCGGAAGCAACATTCACTACAGGAGTTGATTTTCTACTGACTGGTGGTGCAGAATTAAGTTATGGCCGCAAAACAAGAGTCCAAGCTCAGATGCCAAGCACTTAAGGCTATAGTCTTCGGAAAGACCGATGCAAATCACTTATAATTGAATGTAAATTATGTATGCATGATGCAATTCATCAAGCTTAAAACACTCTAGCGGTGGCAACAATAGTATACGTTAAATAAAAGTTAACTTCAATTCACTATTATAACATGATGTGTTTTATTTTGTATACCAATGTATATGTGTATGACTTTATATATACATATAAAAGACATTTGAAAAATTATCAGTATAGGGAATCGTATTTCAACATTCTACCGCTATAAAGATAAGTGTTTTACATGACAATTTGCTCAAATCAGGGCCATGAACACTCACTCAAAAGTATAGAAAAATCACCCGTAAAGAAAATTGCAAGGGTCACTAAAATACCAGGAGCCACTGAACACATCAATGTTTGGACCATTACGAGCCCATAGATGGCGGTTGCTGCATACCTTGGGTCGGCTGAAGTCAATTTGAACATCAGGAAAGCAGTTAGAAAATTTGACAAAAATATACAATGCACTTCTTTACCTTACTCTGACAATAAACATGCGGCAGCCAGCATTGAAGCTAAACTAGTAAAATGACAAAAAATCATAGACCAATAGGTGTTCAAAAGACTTAACAAAAAAGGGGGTAGCTTTTCGTCGACGGGAAAAAGTTTACAGAACAAAGCAAATGGGGCCCATGTTTTGTAGCGAAATAGCAAAAATCAGGGTGTCTCCAAAATGTCGTGTCCCACTTGTCTCACGTTTCACATTTGTGCCACGTGTCCCACGTGCGTGCACGCGGTATTAGCGACTAGTGGAACACGTGGTACAAGTTGAACACGTGGGATAAGTGGAACACGGGGGGCAATTGTGGGATACGTGGCACAAGTTCGGCACGTGAGATACGGGGTACAAGTGGGACACGTAGGGCAAGTGTGGGACAAGTGACATACGTGGGACACGACATTTTGGAGATACCGCAAAAAATTACCTTGATGTATTGTGACTTTTACCGTTCATGAAATTTATCTCCGAAAAAAATGAAATATATATTGGATCTTTCGATTGGCCACGAAGTACTTTTGAAAATCCATTTTCTTGCAAAACAATTCACTTTGCATATTTACAGATAGTCTGTTTGTCCCGTCATCACTTTAGTTTAGTTTGATCTAAACCTAAGATTAAATATAGTAAGACACAACTAATAAATCTTCATATCTTTTACTCGTTCGTAATATACTCATTCACATACTAATTTTTTATTTATTTCTTTTTTTAGCTGTTGTATTATTTAGCCATACGACATTATTGATTCATAAATTGCCTAAATTACGAATAGAAGCGCGTAAGTTGGGTTTTCAATAGATACACAGACCTTTTTGTTAGCTTCAAAAATCGACTTTGTTGAAATCCATTTTGTGCTTGGAGACTTTCCCAGATTTTAAGGTCATGCTCATTTGAGTAGTTTTACATTAAACGAGTTTTTCCATTCGTGAGTTCTAAGAGTCTTGCTATATATTGTGTTATCCCAAAATTTATTCGCGAGCACACCATTCAACTTTTCCTGTATGTGGTTTATGTGCATACTGCAAAACGTAGAAACACAGTATATTTATAGCAGGAGCAATGCCAAACCTTTTTTTGCAGGTTTGACAGCTAAAAATATAGAACTATTTTCCGCAATTCGCAAACTAAATACCGAATTTGTCAAACCCAATGTCCAAGTTACGTCAAAAGAATTAATATATAAATTTTTGAATTGGAGCAATGTTCCGTTTAGATTTGAAAGATATTATCATCAATGTCTGTGCCATCGAAGATTTCGCTGTATTCGATAATAATCTATAAATTATAGGTATAGTAGATGGTTAGGAGATAATGATTCATTTTAAACTCTACACACATTAACAATATTTCATTCGTAGACAACCTGGAAATTGATCCCAATAACAACTACAGCTATTGACACCATAACCTAATTTTACGTAACAGATAAGTAATCTAATTATTTCTTCAAACAAGCGGACAAGTGATAACAATAAGTTCAAGAGATTCGGACGACGACACAATTTAGTCATAAAGATACAAACCGCATGTTATCGTATAAAACCTGGTAACGTCAGTCAAGATACTTCTGTGCAAGAGTTCAGAACTTTCGTATGACAAGGTGAGGACAATTTTTATATTGGTTGTATTATAACGGAATTTAGTTTGTTTCTTTCCTTTACTTTTTTACGGCAATGATGTTTGCCTAATGGTGGTCATGAATACCAATACAAAATATGAACATATACTTGAGTTTGGCTTTGTCCGACACTGATTTATTTTATGAAATCCGTTCATTAGTTAATAAGAGTCTTTTGTGTATGGACATTCAAGTATGTGAAGAAAATTACACTGCCGACATTTTGTTTATATGCTAACAATATAAGATAATTATATACGTTTGTCTTTATTTGTTTACATACAGTGGGAGAAGATAACAGAACAATGAATTTCATACTGATATATGTACTGCTAAGCGTCGTCACCATCTCATCAGTTAGTTCACAAACAACGAATGCGACTGAGACGACAACTGAGGCACAAACAACAACACCCCCTCCAACTTTAGGTATGTTTATACTTGATTTAATATAAACAAGGTCGAAATACGTTTTATATTCACGAAAATAGTTTCTATACCCTTTACTGCTTAGCGGGTTGCCTATTTGTTTTAGACGGTGACCGTACATTTGAACCCACGTACATTTGAACCCATGTGTATATCCGCGGGTTCAATCTATATGCGGGTGCTAAAACCCATGAGTTAGAGTTGGTATGGGTTCAAATATTCGCAAAACAAAAAAAATTCCCATGGGTGCAATAGTATGCAGGTGCAATTGTCGTGGATTCAAATGTACCTGGGTTCAAATGTACGGGAACCGTTTCAGACAGTCTGTAGGAAGCATAACAAATATAAGTTTGCTTAATATTAAATAAATTCAGACTTTATAATAGTTTTGATTTAAAAAAAAAGATACAAAATTTTATGTTTTATTTGCATATAATTCATCACAGCTTTAAGTTCAATTAACGAATAATCTTCAAAAATATATTTCAGAGGATTTTGCAGGATGTAGTTCCATCTTAAAAAAATTTGGAGAACCAGAGAATGGTCTGTACACCATCGTGGATAAAAGTGTAAGTTTTTCTGTGCAAAGTCATCTTTATTCACTAGATTTTGGTGTCTTACTTGTAACAGAAGATGTTGAATAACAGCATATAGACAATATACATAAATATGGCAAAACTGTCGTGGTCCCATTCAACGTCGGCTACGAAAAACATTTATAATTTTGAACTACTAACTTGGTAACGTGATATTCTAATATTCCTAGTCTCAAGGGCTAGATATTATCTATAAAACGGGCGAAAATTTACTATCTGAGGTCAGTTGTTAAATATTGAATATAATTGAATTGACTGTCGTTGAGCATTAAGAACAAATTCGTGACAAATATATGAAATTGGAGCATTGTGAGATTCATTCAAGATTTTTATGATCACATATTTCAGTAGAATATTGCCTTGCCATGAACTGGAATATTATTACCGTTTGCCGTACACAAATTAAATTTTCATTTAGGGTTCCATGTATCGTACTTACTGCGATATGGAAATTGACGGAGGTGGATGGACACTAGTGGCATCCGTACACGAGAACAATATCGACGGCAAATGCTCTGTCGGGGATAAATGGTCCAGTCAACAAGGAACCGCCGTTCCGTTAAACGAAGGAGAGCAATTTTGGGCAAACACAGCAATTTGGGGATTGGTAGAATCTGCAACTAGTGATGACTTCAAATGTCAAGGATACTTTAATCTTCCAGCGAAGGACATTATGATATGGCACGTACCGAATGATACCCCGTATTACGATTTCAGTGATAAGTAAGAAGACTTTAATACATTTTAATTGTTTCACCAGGGCTAATTATGTTCATTTTCCAGTCCACAGTTTTTCAAGAACAGTTTTCGGGAATGTGATTTTTATAAATTTGGGTAGAAGTTATGCAAAAAATAATCTTATAATATACAAATGTGACATTTGGTAGACCAAGCTGTTAAAATTTTGGGCTTCTTGCTGGGAAAATCTATTCTGTGCCATAATGGTATATTATTTAATGAGCATTCGATTATTTAATATTGATAATAATAACAGAAAACAATGCTACGTTTAGTCGTGACTAATTCTTCACTGCTGGACAAGAGTATCTATTTGATTCGATAGTAATGCAATGTCTATTCAACAATTACTCGTCCCTGTCTTACATATAAACTTGGTTTTCGTATTAGAAATTAGGCCAAGCTTTAGATTTGTTTGCGAACGTGTTGTAAACACGGTTGTTTTGCATTGTTTCTTCATTTTTCTCACCGGCAAATAATTTATCATAGGCAGTTCTAAACATGTTGGCTTGTTGAAATTGTATCAGTACCTCACTTTACCATAATCGTTTTATCTTCATTTTACTCAACAAATTGTAGGCTGGTTATTCGTTACATGTATTTTTTTAGAGCATTCTTGAAGTATCGTACTAACTCTGGATTTCTTGAACATTATGGTTGGAATCTGTATCACCTGTTCAAAGATTATTATCCACTGCGTCAAGGTCATTCTGACGACAAAGACGGACCTGCTGAAATGATAGTATGGGACAAAGGCAACAACGAAACAATGTTCAACAACACTGCTCCTAATATGAGAGAACATACAGAACCCGGTTTCATTCAGGTATGTCTTGAGCTATATGGTAATATTCTACACAGATTGCAATCTGTATCAGCTTCAATTTAATTTTCAATAATCATGAAACAAAACAGCAATTTCAAATTTTATTATCTTAAATTTGTCCGATGGGAAATGTGATGTTTTGGTTGAGGACCTAGAAGTTCATGTAGTGTCAAGATTTGCGTTAGAAAAACACTATAAATGGATGGTTTGAAACGACCGGCACTATACAAACCGGTTTCCTTTTCAATGAAATTCGTGTTTCGTTGAAAAATTGAAAAAGAATAAGTTTAAGATGATCCACTAAAGTTAGACGAATATATGCACAACCAAATTTAAGAATCATTGTACAAAACATTTAATGACCTGATGTATATCACACAGTTTTTTTTTTATTTAGCATTCGATGCTTGGTTTATTCTTTTTAGCTAACACTATTAAGAAAATTTATAGATTATTATCTCTAACTATTATAATTTTAATATTTAACACAACATATCTATTTCCGAATTTTTAGTTCCGGGCAATCGACCGATCGTATGCTGCATTTGCGTTATGTCCTGGAGTCATGATAAAGGAAAGCAACCTTGACCCTGCGTATGCTTGTGTAGGTAGTGTAGGGTATGCAGCAACATCTACATATCAATGCGGAGACTTTGCCGGTTGGGATGGGAAAGGCAAAAACCCGAAATGGTCTGCCAGCAAGAAAATGCGTGAATCATCGATTCTTATCTTTTATCGATAGAACTCCGAACACCCAAGTTACCAAATTCGCTGAATTTTTATGCATAACATCTACATTTTTTCAGTTCTACGTAATAATAGTTGTTGCTCTATCGTCGAAGTAGGGAAAGCTAATAACCACAGAAATCCGTCAAAGCTTCTTTCTACTCGAGCCGAAACACCTATAAACTGACTGTCTAGGTTTTATTCGCGTAATTGTCGTATTGAGACTTTAATATTTTTTCTTCTTCGGCCTTTTGTGAAATGAACAAGACAAATTGCAGCTTTTATATAAAAAAAATAAAATTGTTTTGAATGAATATTTTCAATTTTAATGTTTCATAATTGGGCTAGAAATGTGGAAACTGTCCAGAAATTTCACTGTTTTATAACCCTTCTTAATTTTACTTCAATGCGGACAAAATTATTCTTCGACTTGCCGATTATAAAATTGCGATGCATTACTCTTTGTCTTCGACGAGCAGCGCTGAACTAGACTAGTGATGAGTTTCGACAGATGTCGTAAATTTAATGACTAGTAATAAAATAACACTGATTATCGTTCATTCGTAGCAGTATGGCTACTTAGTAACTGTTTTCAATTTCGTAATTTTCCATTATATGAGTTTGAATTTTATTAAAACGTGCATGTTCGGTGCTTTTCTTGATGACCAAGTTTAGATTCATTTCAATAAATCATGTTAAAATAAAACTCAAGTTTATATCAAGATTTTTTTCCTGATTTCATCTCTTTTACATGGTCATAGTAGGCCTCTACCGTGATATGGATTGATATTCTGACTTTTAGACTCATAAAAAGTCTGTGTATATCATAGTATGATAAAATTATGCTTCTCATTTATATTGAAGAGGATTGTGCGAGTTTGAACGCTGAATAATTGGCCTTGTGCATCTTGCTAAACAATACTCACATCTAATTTCAGACTCGTCTGTTAACGATTTTTCGACATTTTTCTATCATTGCAGCTATACTTGAACTTTTCCGCTCTCATGAATTTTCCAAGTTCTAAGAAGTCGAGTTGAGCTATCGAGTCCCTCCCTCGAATCCGAGTATTAGTATATTCCATACAAAACAGAAAAAATGAATAGATAAGAGATTGAAAATTTCTTTTTGAATTAAACCATAAGTAAACCAATGTTAAACAATTTGCTCTATTCTTGAGCGATTTACTGAAAACCGGACGTTTCCAAGCTTGCTATCGTTAATTCGTTCACGGAATGAACCAAACAAGATAGATGAAAATGCGCGCTTATATGACTTGGATAATTTCGACAGCGAAGTACGTCTGTAGGGCGATTCTTTAGGATATTTACTGTAGGTCGTAAGATATCAGTGGATAATTTCATCTGGCTTTTTTCGGAGCAAAAGGCACGAGTGAGCGTCGCATTACGTCATCATACAAAAACAAAATCCCCCCCTCAATTTGGGACTGGCCACACTCTTCTGCTTTAAATAAACCAACATCATTTTTATATTCAACGAGTCTTTCACAATTACTTTTGCGTCCCATGTCAAATATTCAGAGTCGGAGGTCATGTAAATGTCCACTAATCACAAGTAAAACTTGAATCTTTTTCAATTAGAGTCCATTTGCGAAAACCCTCGACGAAACCGGTGACCGTACATTTGAACCCACGTACACTTGAACCCATACATTTGCACCCGTATATCCGCGGGTTCAATCTATATGCTTGTGCTAAAATCGATGGGTTAGGGTTAGTATGGATTCGAATATGCGTAAATTTTTTTTTCCATAGGTGCAATATAGTATGCAGATGTCGTGAGTTCAAATTACGGGTTCAAATGTACGTGGGTTCAATTGTAATGGAACCGGACGAAACTCATTCAAACGTGTCAAGATCGACACTCGGTTATCACTGGACATGACGTGTATTGGAATATCTATCCACTGAATCTTCATCCCATCTTCATAATTTTCTATAGTTTCCCAACCTAGGACTCTAAAGTCCAACAGTTCTGTATCACACAATAATCTGTCCCGGGATTCGAATCAAAGTGCGGATTTCAGCATAGTAGCTTCCTAACTTTACGCGGCAAGATTACTGAAATAACCAAGGGATGTGGGGTCAAAGTTGAACGCTTTTTGTTGGCATATATGTTTAATAAAAATATGTTTTGGTGTCATTCAAAATTAAAGATATTCAGAGCCCCCGTGCATGTAAAATGGTACAAATGATTAGATATTATAAACCGCAATTACCAATGTCGTATAGATAAACAACTCGGCAAAACGGTTATGAGTTATATCGATACCCCCCAGCCCCCTGTGAGAAAATAATAAAAAATAAATTGAGAGTATAGTATATCATCTTTATTATTTAAAGACTGTTTTTGGTAAGTAGCGAGAATGATAAAATTGGGAATGCCTACCACAGTACAGACATTATACTTTTCCACCACTTCTGCAAAATGCAATTATAAATGATAATGATTCAGGCCGACATATAGCAAACAGAATATTATGAGTGGCCACTTCAATGGAATTTGGATTTTATCGCCACTTTATCAAAATTCGAAAACAAGAACACTGAATCGAATAACGGCTCCTCGTCTCGTATGACCGGCCACCAAGTCGGGTTTAAAATATCAATCCAGATAATCGTTCCATTCGCGCACACTTGACGATGATTTGACGTAGAATTCAAAAGTATTTGAAATAATTAGAAAAGTTATAAATGTAGGTGTGTTTAAATTCAATAATGATTGTACAATTTCATATAAATTTTCGCTAACCAATTGATATATAAGAACATTAGCCGGTGGTGACATAAAGTCCATACCCATATAGCAGGGGTCGGCAAACTGCGCCGGCGAACAACTTTTTTTTCGGCTCTCGAACCACCTCGCTGTTACAAAATTGTCTCATAAATTTATCAATTTATCATTGATTTGTGTTGCAACAGTGGCTTGTTCTACGTTCCTTTGTTTTGTAGTTAGCAGCGCAAGCGAAGCGAAGCACATGTCAGTTGTAAGTCGTTTAATTGCCGAATCTACCGTTAGATGTAATTATTATCAAATCATTGTGCAATTTGGCCCTGCTTATTTGCCATGCCATTTTCAGTTGATGTTAATACGGTACCACATGAAATGCAAATAATTGAACTTTAGTCATCCAATATGTTGATGGTCAAATACGATTCAGTTCTGACTGCCAACATTTATAGGGAATATGTTCAGCAATCAACCTATCCTAATCTGTATGACAATGCAAAACGTGTAAAGTGCATGTTTAAAAGCACATATTGCTGTTGGCAGCTTTTTCCCAAACGAATTACACTACAAATGCATTCGCATTCGCTTGTCAGATCGTCACTTGATATCATCAAAGTTGTCAGTGGATTTACCGTTTGGGCCATCACACAGAAACAGCACCATCCTTTACATTGATGAGATTTAAATAAAAATCCATGTATTGTGTTTGATGAAAAGTAAAAAATGTCAACATACACGTTTCAGCATGAAATGCGTTCAACACAAGAATGGAAGTCGCGAGTGCATCATAATTTGAAGTTTAATGTGCCCATTGTTTATATGGGGGGAAATTATTGCGACCACACGCTACCGATCTGTGTATATTTTGCTTCCCATTAGATAAAGTTTGCCGGCCATTGACCTATATAGAACGCTATTTAATTTTGATTTATCAAGCCATTTTGTTACGTCATATTTGACGTCTTTATAAGGTTGAGGGACAATCATGCCTCACTAATATGCAATTTAACATCAAAGTTTATTCGAATCCAGTTTCAGACTTCATAAAACAGAGACAGCCTGAGGGAAAAAGCTCGAATTAACTCAACATACCGGTATTCAGAATTCCCATTTGCAATGCGTATCAAAAACATCTTCCTTCCTACCTCAATGCGTATGTAACTCAATCCGAACGTGTTTATATGTTTTAAATCGATTTAACAGATGATATTGAAGTATTTATTTTAAAGTGATAGCACATTTATAGCTTTTAATATTAGAAAAAATGATTTAGTAGAAGTAACACCCTAGGCGCTTTACCCCTTCATTCCGAATAAGGGGTTTGTACAATCCGTCACCAGAACGTACGGTATCTATACTTTTGAACCCTAGGTTCCAGCTTCGGCATTACAAACACAATTTATATGCCAACGACCTGCGTTATGTATAGATAGTTATTATTCTTTATGTAGAAAATGTTATTACGATTAGTAAAAATTATGAATCCATACCTTAAAAATAAACTATCTATATATCCACTTACTTAGTAAAAACCCAGATTGCAAGTTTATTTTTCTTGCGTTGATTATATTTATCGCTTTAGTCTGAAATAATGGTGTTAAACCAATCGAGAACAAAGTTTTCAGATTAATCTTAATTGGCCAACCTGGAAATTAATCCCACTTCCAACAACAGCAACGAATATTGACATGAAAACCCAATTCTACAATAGCGAGCAAGTAAACAACCTAATTTATAATGCAAATAAGAGGACGAGTGATTAAGTAAGATTTGAAGGGGTTCGGACAACGATTTGTTTTTTCACTGAACCAGCATTGACCGAAAAATGTTATATATAAAGCTGGGTAGAGTTTTACGGGGATATTTCTGGTAACAGGTTGGAGTTTCAATTTAGGAAGGTGAGTGATATTTTGTTTGTACCTGTTAGGCTATCTTTAGTAAATATGTGGAACTTGAATTTGTGTATACTGTAGTCATTTTTATGTGATAACATGACTGTTTTTATACTTTGCATATTTACAGTTGAAAAGACCAACGACATCATGAATTTAATCGCATTGTGTGTATTGATGAGCATACTTTCCGTCTCGTGTATTCGTTCTCAAACAACTGCTGCCACTGAAACAACAACAGAGGCACAAACGACAACACCACCTCCAACTTTGGGTATGTTCATAATTAGTTAGTGTCTTTTGGGCAAAACCTTAATTTTTCCGCGAAACGGACTTTCAAAGCCTACCCCAACCAATTTCCCAAGGTTTTATACCTGTCTTAAATCAGAAAAAAATTAGTAAATTCAATAACAAACACCATGTTTCAAATTAGCTGAACGAGCACAAAATTATTTGTCGCATTATTACATACAGTGACTAAGCGTAACCTTTAAGCGTTTTTTGTTCGAGAAATTCACTTCAAACCCATTGCTCATCCGGCATTGCGCTAAAAATTTATTATTATTAATTAATACACTTTTGCAATACTCTTAAAACAAGCATTTTTTCCCTATGTTGTCGTTTACTTTTGCCAAAACCCAATCAATAAATCAAGATTTGCTGATGGAAAATGACAATTACAATGTATTTTACAGATGATTTTGCTGGGTGCACCTCCATCTTGAAGAAATTTGGCAAAGTAGAGAATGGATTGTACACTATTGTGGATAAAGTGGTAAGTGTTGTTTTTGTATACATAATTTGATATTACGTAAAGAACAATGTTCGTGTCGACTCCACAATGCCCGCTTTTTGTCACATAACTTGCTGACTTTTCCAGCATCAAGATATAGCTGTCACAGTAAATATAGCCAACTTGTATCGACTACAAATTTCTGGTGCTAGTGAGTTTCTGATATTACAAAAGTACGTCAAAGTCACTTAAATATTTTGGCAAATGAATATACCTCTAGCGGTTTTTGACAATGTTTTCCTCAATCAAGCAAAAACTCTTCGGCCTGAGTGCCTCGTGACTCATAGGTCAGAGACACTGAACGAGAATGTGACGCAAAATTCAAGATACGTGCGATTATATAATTCTTTCGCATCAGCAAATGCGCTATTGCTGATATATATACTTTATAAATACAATACAATTAATTGTGCTCTTGTTCTGTCCAGAAACTTTTTTAGCCAATATTGCAGACAAGGAACAGGTTTTATTTAAATCTCTAAGCTAAATTTCATTTTAAATTTCTTCATTTCTTTCAACTTTTACTCAGGGATCCGTTTATCGCACATACTGCGACATGGAAATTGACGGAGGTGGTTGGACACTTGTGGCATCCGTACACGAGAACAATATTGGCGGCAAATGCTCGGTTGGGGACAGATGGTCAAGCCAACAAGGAAACTCCTATGCATTTAAAGATGGTGAACAATTTTGGTCAAATCTAGACACTTATGGATTGGCAGAATCGGCAACTAGTGATGACTTCAAGTGTCAAGGATACTTTAATCTTCCAGCGAGGGATGTCATGATATGGCACGTACCAGATGGTACTATGTTGAAGGACTACAGCGAAAAGTAGGCTCAATTTCTTATACCATAATAATTGCTATTCGGTCGAGTAATTCAAAAAGATAATAAAAAACTTCGAAAATTTTTGAACGAACTTTTAGCAAATTACCCTTGTTACGAACCCCAATGTGCTCGAAATATTGATGTGGGAGGCTTCCTTCTAATATTTTGCACCCGAATTCTAATATATATTTTAGATCACACACCACATGCGTCAAAAAAGTATTTCTCGCTCTCTTTTTCGCCCGCTAGACTCTGGGTCGATTGCCTTTTCCTTATGTCAGTTGCTATTGCTGTATCCTAAGTCGAGTTGCTATTTTTTATAAAAATAAACGGAATATTGGGTCTTTTGATCACATAAACCATTCTAAAAATACACAAGTCCCCCAAGAGAGTACTATGAACATTAAAATTTGATTTTTTGTTCGTTAGGCGCAAAAGACTCTATCTTTTCAAAGCGCCATATAGTTTCATACCACACACACACACATACAAATAAACAAACTGTGCATCCAGAAACAAGTCTAGCAAATTCATTTGTTCACGATCACTACCGAATTTCACCAATTCCCAATCGAAAAAAGTACAAAAAATCTCTATTTTTCAATTGGTTTTAGCTATTATTTAAAACTGTTACGTTACAAATCTTTGATGATTAAAAATAAAATCTATATTCACCCAAATGTATTCATGCATTGTTCGTAATCGCTTGGTGGTACAACTTAACTTTAATCCCATTTTATAACCTTAGTCGCCGATTTCGATTCCAAAGCTTTACCTATTCATCTGCATTTGATATATATAATATACCAGTTACTTTTTTTTTTTATAAATCTTTCTTTTAGAGCATTTCTGAAGTATCATACTAATTCTGGATTTCTTGAACGTTATGGCTGGAATCTTTATCACCTATTCAAATATTATTTTCCAATGCGCCAAGGCCAAGCTGATGATGAAAGTGGACCTGCCGAAATGATAGTGTGGGACAAAGGCGACAACGAAACTATGGTTGCAAACACGGCCCCATCGATGGTTTCTGAAACAGTGCCAGGATTTATTCAAGTATGACACAGATGAGAATTTTTTGTATAGTATTTAATGATGTGTCCACACCACATACATAAGGCAAACCATTAACTTTGTTTGTTGACGTTCGAAGATATTAAATAATGTGACTTCTGTAACGCCCTTTTCTAGATCAGCCAGTTAATAAGATAATGAATGGTTAAAGAATTAAAATAAAGTTTTATTATTACAAAACCTTCAACTTCACACATGTTATGTTTTTCAGTTTAGAGCAATGAACCATGAAAGCAGCGCGTTTGCGTTATGTCCAGGAGTTAAGCTCGAAAAATCCCGCGGGAACGCTGAGCATGCCTGTGTCGGTAGCGTAGGATATACGCGAGAATCTTACCATCAATGTGGAGATTTCGCTGGCTTTGATTGGAACGGAAAGGGGACTAAATATGGATTTTCTACGAGCAAAGAGATGCTCGAATCAGCAATTTTTATTTTTTATCGATAAAATTTGATATCACTCATAATATCAAATTTGTAGCATGGATTTTTATATCCTACCGCCCCAAAATAATTTGAAGACCAATATTTCTGTTTTACCGAATCATGGGAAGTATTTTTGTATATTTCCAAATGTTAACTATTCTTTTCAAAATGAACATATCTTACGTTCGTTCAGTTGCAGTGTGACCCGACTTATCTTGAGATTCCAATGTAAATATTTCAGTTTTTGATACGAATTAATCATATGCTGGTGCCGTGTTTCAGTAACACATGTGAAAATAAAACTCAAATTTGTATCTTGTGTTATTGCTATCATTTCTATATAAAAGTATAGGTTGAAATTACAGGTATTTTGAATATTTTTTACGAAATTCGCAACATTCTATCTAAAAATAATTCATAAATAATTGAGCAAATTCTTGAGTGATCATTAGTTTTAGTAATAGTAAAGTTTTGTTCAAATAGAACAGCGTTGTTAATGTAACCTTGCGTTTTCAATTCTTCAGCTATCCCCTGTAAGTGAATTTAGTTGTAAAAACAAAGCAAGTATTAAATAGCAAAAATATGGTATAAAATAACTATTTAGGTTGTATGAGAAATGTTCTATCTACTCCCCACTGTGTGACATTCTCATCTAATAAAGTCGAGGTACATTTGTCGCCAAACAACTTTTTGACGTCTTTCTTGGATATATTCCACGGATTATAAGGCCATGTTCGGAATTCACCAAAGTCCCAACCACTGAGAAGATACCAAGAGTCTGATTTTAATAAAGATAGCATTACGGTCACGTATTCCTCTCTTTTATTGAATGGAATTGTGTTGAGACTCGCAGTATCAGAAACGCCGTCCATTTTGCCTCCGGCTATATCTGCATTGAAATTGAAGTAGTCGCCTTCGAAAATTACGATGTCGATACCCTTCGCTGTGTAGACATTGTAAGACGGATCTACTTTTGAGACGGTTTTTATATATTCAATTGAGTTGGTTTCGAAGAAAGCTAATATCGCGTATGGTGCACATTCTACTCCTACGACCGCATGGCCTTGATCCGCTATCCACTTCACGTTTGGTGATGCTCCACTGAGAGGCACAAATATTCGACATTTTTCCCGACCCGCAAACAGAAAATTCCTATGTTTCACTAACATCGGACTTAGTTCATTGAAATCACTCTCGTTAAGTTTACTTTCTGTATCGGGTCCTCTATCACCCCTTGCTTTTCTTTCGTAGTTTCTTTCCCACCAATCCTTCCATTCTTTCTTATACAGCACACGGCCTTTAACGGTGTCGCCCATGGTCTGTATAGTAACCAACGGATTCGCTAAATACCTTGATATATACACGGTGGTATCTGAGTAGCGCATTGAAGCGTTCACATTTTCTGCACGCTTGGCAGATTTTTTCTTCAAAAACAATAACGACTATTAGTGTCCGACTTGTGTCCGTATTGCGTTACAATAGACAGCGATACAAAAATCGACAACAATTTCAACTTGTATTGAACCTTTCTAGAAGTATTGTACACAATTAAAACGGATTATTTTGATTGGGGTTTGGAATTGGTAGCAAAGTCAACATATTTCGCGCCAGGAGACGAATAGTCACAATAGTACTTTGAATCAGTTCTCTTGGTTCCATTTGGGATGGCCATAACCACACGCAATAGTTTAGTACACAACGATTATTGAGGAACTGTGTGGCACTCAGAGCCACAACTATCACGCTTTTCAAATCCCAATCACATTCTATCCAAGCTTATATTTGAGCCATCGGCCTGAGCAAGGTATTTGCTTGCCATCTCGCAGTAGTTCATCTCAATTTCATTTTATGCAAACTTATGGACCTCGATAAACACTAATTCCTTATAGCTTGATTTTATCACCGGCGTTTCGGGAAAAAATTCAAACAGTGTTAGAGGGAAAGACGAACTTGGATTACGGTGTTATTGCCCTTCTCGAAGTGTATGCAAGTCATGATGGGAAGGTTCAGTTGTACGTAAGCATCATGTGATGAAGTGCGTAATTGTAATATTCAAGCTACACATTACCACCTTCAACGAGATTACAAGATGTGACTGATCTATGACCACGACAATCTTCGATGAAATATTGAATATGTTATTGGTGCTTTATCCAAGGTTTCACTTTTCAATCATATTCTCAATTCTCTTATCAGTTCAGACTGCGCTGCATTGCGTCTGAAAGTTTCCAAGCCATTGAACGATTCATATCATACGCCCAACATCTACTTGTTCTTTCGAAATATTCGAATACATTCTATTTAAACACAAATTAAATTATGATAGGTTTTGTCAGCAGTTGATGATGCCTTTGGGATGACGAACCCAATAATATAATACAGTATATATTTTCACAGCGTATGATATAAAATTCGAGAGTACAATATAAAAGGAATATAGCAAAAAAGCTTCAGTTTTATTAATTAAATGAGATGAATTTTGAATAGGATTCACTGATATAACCAATCAATAGTAGCATATTTTTTAACTGAAACATATGTGCAATGCTATTTACACAAACATTTGTTATTTATTGATGCAAAAAAGTTTATCAATTTTCATTTGTTTAGCTTCTTCAATGGTATCGGGAACTTTAACATTTTTTGTCTCAGGGAGAAGAAGCACAAGGCAAACTGTAATAAACGTCAGCCCCGCCATAACCAGATATGGAAGTGATTTTGAAGATTTTTCACCTGTAAAATGATGTATTTTTCAGTCAGACAAGAGAAATATTCAAACATGTATATAAACATTCAATATTGATAGCTTACTTGCATATACGATATAAGGAGAAATTATCGCCCCCACGTTGCCTGAAAAGGTACATGTTCCCAATGCTACAGACCTCAGAAGAGTTGGGAACATTTCAGGTGTATACAGGTACATGACGTCATATGCTGAAGTAATGGCAAATTTTCCAATCATTGCAATTGTTACCCCAGATGCAGTATTCCCTTCAAATGAATTCTGACATGTTAAAAAACACAAAAAAGAAATAGTCTGAACTAAAAAAAGCAGTCTCATTGACTGACTAACGATAGCATCAGTTCAGATAATGTAGTGCCATAGTGCCATAAAATCGTCCACCTATATCCAACTAAGTCGTTTAATTTTTTCCTAATTAACAAGCTACTTTACCACATTTATATATCGGAAATGCTATTTGTATCTGAAATATATAGATAGATAATCAGAACAAAACTGAAAATGAATATGTATAGGTGAGCGAACACGTACGACTTCATTCAACAACACCTTTCAATCTAACATCTGTACGTTTCAAACCTTACTCAAGATGTGGTTCGCTTTCCTGATTCTGTAATCAGCTTTATTTATTTTGTTTTTATCATTTTTAAACGTCTTATATGATGATTATTAGTCAAAATAAACGTATACTTATGTGACAACATAATCGGCCGTCACTAGTGTTTTCAGTAGAATACTCACAAGATATAGCAAACGGAGTTAAGATTATTGCTAAAGCTGATGTCATTCCCAAAGTAACGTAAGCATATTTACGCCCGATCAACCTCATGAAAACAAAGCTTACAATGGCTGCAGGGATTTCTACAGCACCAGCAAGAAAACAGTTTATATATGCGCTTCCTCCAAGATTACTTGTGTTTAAACTGAAGAAATAGTATGTAATGTTCAGGACCAACCTGAATAAAATTGATAGAAATAAATTCAGACCTTTTTTAGACGCAAAATGAACCAATAGATCGTTTTGCTAAGCTGTTGTTATTTTTGTTGGAACAACAAACTGCTGGTCGCCCTATGAAATACTGAATCAATAGCTTTCAAATTTTCAGTAGTTCTACATGGAATAGACCCCTAAAATGTCACCCTTATTTTTGTTTGAATACTATTTTTCATGCATTTAAATTAAACCAATAAAAAATGTAAACGTGTAGTGGTGAAGTCGTGGTGAACATCGGATTAAAGCTGCCTCGGATTGAGACACTTAAATGTTTTAGGGAGATCATAGATCCATTCCTTTAAATGTTCTTACCAGGTGAAGAAATTGATAAAAAGACGATTCCTCATTATCGAAGCCCGAAATAAGTCAAGACAATTCACGTTTGATACAAATCGCTCTTCATTCGTTTTATTAATGTCATCAGAATAAAGTTCCCCCTGAAAGTTGACAAAAATTTAAAAAAAAACGTATGCGAACTTCACATTTTCCCTTGTAGGTTAAACGCAGTGGTGGGATTTAAACGACTGCGAACCCTTCCATGGGCTGTCGTGGTAATCAGTGAATTCTATCTTGTTATTGGAGCTATAAATTCGGCATGATTTTCACGGGCAAGGACGGAACCTACTGTTTGTGTGTGCCATACAAAAGAGAACCCATACAAGTTGAAACCTATAAAATCCATCCTTTCTCGTTTTATGTCATACAATTAACGTAGAAACTAAGTAATAAAATTTATCGGAATTAAATTTGAAGTACCTCGAATTTCGAGTCGTTAAGTTTTGAGTCCGTAAGATTCCCGAGATCAGCAGCATGTCTAGTATATCCATTATATAGTTCGATTTCTCTTCGCAATTTGTTCGCACGATCCCTCTGGCCACGTTGTATAAGCCACCGATAGGATTCAGGAACCCACCTAGGAATAAAGACCAAAACGCAAAGAATATTCCTGTTTAACGAATTAGGCAGACCACCACACATAGTCTGGGTTAAAGACCTTATTGCAAAATTCTAAAACTTACCATATGCAAGGAATTTGTATAACGCCCAACACAGATATGGATCCAAGTAACCATCTCCAAGAAGGTGTTATGTAAGCCATAACAGGTAATATCATGTATCCGAGAGCAAAAGCAACATATAATAAATTCACTACTATTGTTCTATTTCTGGCTGACAGCATTTCAGATACTGAAATATAATGCATGAAAGTTAGTTATTAAAAATTGGTGATTGTCCACAAATCTACGTTATTCCTGGTGTAGGGTGTCATGCAGAAATTTGATGAGTTTCAACAAGAAATATTTAGGTAATTCCCAAGAAATTCATTTTATTGAGGACTGTGGAGTGTTAAGTAAGTCATTTTTAGTGTAGTCATAGTGATGTGTAGTCATAAAAGTTAAAAAATACCTAAAACTACTTTCACGACAAAACTGCCCATATTGCAATAACTAACAAAGAATATGGTAGCAGCAAACATCCAAGGATTCGTCGAAAACGCGCAGATGAATAGCCAGATAAATCTTCCAAGAATTGTCATAAGAAAAATTTTCTGTCTCCCATATCTGAAAATTTTTTATTTTCCATGTCACTGTATAAAAAATATCTTTTAGCAAATTTATTTTTTATTTTTCCCGACAACAAAAACGATTTAGCATATATATAGTATTATTGATTATTTAAAAAAAGTTTCAAGCGCTCATTACTTGACGAACTCATTCAAGATGTTCGCGGAGAAAGTACTGAAATGCAGGGAGATACAAAGAAAGTTTCAACCATTTAGGAGTGTTTTGTCGTTTTATCAACTATTTTGTGACCGTAAACTGAAGGTAGTTTAGGTTAATGAAATGGTAGTTTTTTTAAATACCTAAAATTATATCTTTTGTAAGCACCGTTAGATATGTGAATTTTAATGACAAGATGGGTACTCCCGAAGTATGTGAACCAAGACGATGGACACCGGAACGTCGTATGTGTACCAGGTCAGGTCATAATTCCAAGTATAAATACTACGGAAGTCACTTGGCTAGTCCACGAACTCGTAATAAAACTAAAATAAGGGAAATTGGAATAAAATTATGGCCTAACCCTAACCCGGTAAACATACTACATTCCGGTGTCCGCCATCTTGGTTCACATATTCGGGAGTACCCAAAAAATGTTTATTAGAGGGCATATATAATAAACTTCAATAAATCCTGTGTATAACTGAAATGAATAAATAATTCCAATATAACAGACCTATCTGCTATCCAACCAACAGTCAAAGAGGAAAGAGCTGAACCGCACAACATTATTGAAGCTGTTAAAGGTTTTATCCACGCTCTATCACATACCAGATCCCACTAAAGACGGAGATATATTATCTTACTTGGGATTATTTTCTCAAAGTTAGGTAAATACTTATTTATATTATTGACACGAGTGATAATTATTGATAAAACAACCACAATATATCAAAAGTCTTCATAACTATCGATTGGCATATTGAACAATATTTCGTCTTATTCAAGCTTAAAACGGAAAAGCAGTTGGGCAAAAGTTCTAAACAATCCCATGTGACATACCTCAGTTACTGTAGACCCTTTTCCTTCCTCGTAAAAATATCCATATTTACAATTTGTTGTCTGAATCAATTTCCCAGAATCAAAATCTGTATGATAAAATAGATTTTAATGGACGGATTTTCGCGCGTTCATATTGTTTCGGGGTCGTATAATCTAATTCTAATTCATGTTCATTTATCTTTTTTTCGTTCTAGCAATATGATGATTAGTCTAGTATATAAGCATTAGCCTACTTGTTGATTGATTGTACATCTCACAGCTGCTGAACTCAGATGACGTTTCATTGTCCTCTCTTGGAATATACATTTCGTATTGGTCACTTGAGTACTCAGGCCTTGAATATAGGTTTGTCGTTAAACAATTAGATACTTTCTGTGGGTTTCAGTAGTGCTATTGTACCGGGACACCTTAAAAATTACCCAACGCGTTTAACATAATATTACTTGGCAAGAATCTAATTCGATTTAAAGACCTATTATGATGTGAATGTGTATTCCAGTGCGTTGTAATGACGATTTTGAGTTTGCTAGAAGCAATAATTTGTGGAATTGGTGATCGAGACTTCATTCCAGGCGACTATATGATTAGTTTGATACTGATACTACCATTGTGATGGCTTTTCAAGACTTCAATGAAAATCGAAATGCTGTTTGGAGAAAATTGCGCGGAAGTACTTCCCGCACATTTTATTTTGCGTCAGTTGCTAGGAACATATATTAACACAATACTATATAGTGCAACTCACGGTATTGTGTTGAGTTCTTCTGCACTTTCATTTTTTACTGTTGTGTTTGACTTCGTATACGACAAACTGTTTTCTTCATCTAATTCTGGTATGTAGCACCTGTGTTTGGGTTCGTATGACGTGAAGACGATGTGGAATACCAGAACACCACAAAACAATGAACTTAAAATTAGCATACTGCTTAATCTAAGCTGGTATTTTCCCCACGTTGTGACATCTTGACAATCTTCATTCACGGCCATCCTGGTCCCCAGCTAATTTTGAAAAATCAAATCGATGTTTATCAAAATCCACTCTTATTTCCCAATTTTAGATTCTTGCAGAAAGCTGATTGATGAAACGAAGTAGAGACTAGTATATATATTCTTTTAACGTCACTTTACTGAACTGCGATTATGTAACATTACAACCAACCATGAACATTACAACCAGTATCAGAAACCATGCTACTGAATTTTACAGCAACCATTTAAAATAGCTGCCATTGATAGGTTGCGTTAATTCATTTGTATAGATCGCATACCGAATGTTTGCGAAGGTATTTAAATAAACACTGACGTATTCTATAAGTTTGTTCTTGTTTGATTTGTTCTGGATAAATTTTATCTGATGTACGTCACAATCACCGCAAAGATAGCGACAATATAGTGTTCAATAGGGGGTAACAAAAAACAGAACCCCCAAAATTCTTAATTAACGATAATGAAAAACATTTATTTCATTTTGTTTGCGCTTGAACTTCTGTTTGTGTATGATCATACCCAAACATTTCAGAAATCTAGTACGCTTTGTGCGAAAGATATGTATTCTCAAGTCTAGAATATATTCCAAATGACCTCCTTGGCGTTGAAGAAAGAAATGCGTCAGTTGCGCAAACATGTCAATCACTCGTTATTTGCTGAATCGCACTTTTTGCAGGACATAGGCAAATTAATGTTTGTTGGGGAACAGCACCTCCGGAGGAAGTCACGCGGAAACTGTCCAAACTCATTAAAGTACACGACATGAGTAACTGTTTCCAAGCATGGCATAATCAGTTCGTATCGATTTGAAAATGAATGGAAGTAGCTCAAACGGTGAATACGGAACTTTAAGTTGGTGGCGCTGAAGAACTTCTGGACATCAATTGGACGATATAGAAGGATTGAAATAGATGACCAGTGGTTCCAGCATTACGAGGCGACTCTCACACATCAAATCACACTATTGGTTTGCTGCGAGAGCGATTTCGGGAAAGGCTAATCAACAGTGACGTCACGTCAAAGAGACTCAGTGAGGGAAATTGAGGACAATGTGTATCAGAAAATCCTCAAACACATGGTGAACTAATGGCTGCGACAATCTCCGTAGAGGAATTCGCGTAAGTGATTGAGAATTTTGGGAAACAGATGAAAATCTGTCTCCGACGCTGAGAAGGTCATTTAGAACATATTCAATAGAGAATATAACTTTTGTGTAAATTATTGATTACTTTGGGTACAATCATGCACAAACAGAAGTTTAAGGGTAAACTAATTTAAATTAAATCACTCCATTCTGTTAAAAGTAATTAAGAATATATGGGTTATTTTATTGATGTCACCCCATAGTCTACTTGTAAGTCAACCACCTTCCAGAACGGGAGTTAAAAGTACAAGCATTTATTTAGCCCTTGAGTACAACTGCTTGTTGATCGTTGTAGCGAATCACGTCATAAACTCAACTCGTCACCTACAAGAGACGACATTTTGTAGATTCTAATCGCTATGATTGAAAGAATTGGCCCAAACTCGGAGTTACGAAACACCCAGTGAATGTTGACTACTTACGAGTTTTGCGCTCGAGATTCACGTTGTGTAGCACGACTTTGTTAAGCATGAGTAGGACTAAGCGCGCTTTCGTTCCTGAATTTAATGTTTCTGATGAACAAGAAAGTAAATACAAGCTCAAATATACGGATAAGAAGACCAAAACGAAGTAGTATCATATCTTTTACAGTACTGGTAGTCTGAACACCAGATCACTGAGATGTGATCACGGAGCCACGGCACAGTGCGTAATTTTTAATTTTGATGACGTCACCACACGAAACTTCGAAGTGAAAAACGATTCCAATGGAGCCCACAAACAATTTTTGAAATAAATGAAAGCCTTCTAGCAACAACAATAAGCTTTAACCATTGAAAATTCCGAAGCAATTATTCCTGCAGTTGAAGAGAAAAGTGATCTTTTCAAAACAACATGACAAAACGATCCATATCTCGATTTCGTGTCCAATAAACTACATCTATTGTGGGATTTTACCAATGTCATAACGTTTCATCAACGCAAACTGAATGAATCAATAGCTGTGTCGCAGTTTGTTGTTGCAAAGGTGAAGTATATTACAGAACATTTATGGTTTTGGTTGCTAGACTAGACAAATCGAACCGCAGACATTAGAATGCTTCAAAATTGTCGGTAATCGGACGCGGCTTGACAAATAACCATTTCAAACTCCAAATACGACTGTTTATTTTATTGGCACAACGCTTTACGATCTTTTATATTAAAACACAAATAGTAGTGGCTTACTGAAGTATATAACCTTAAAATGTAGGGTCTAGTAAACACCTCGTGTTTGTTTTTGTCTGATGACTTGAAATATTCCGCTAGGGTATGCTATAAACCTGCTTGAATTTAGTAACAGATATATATAAACTGTGATATTGAATGTGTTGGGCCCACACACGTATGAACTTATTGCGATAGTAAAATTGTTGAAGTCATTGACATTGGACATATCCATTTTTTTGTAGAAAAAAACAATTCCTTTTATTGTTGTTTATACACTCTAATATATATTTAATAGGAATGATTTTAAAAATTATTAAAATATATTTTTTTGAACTATTTTTCGCAATTTGACAAAATTAGGTAGCCATTATGAAAAATTGAACATAGTTATAGTCAGGGATTTCATCGATCTGGAACCCGAAATAAGGACAACTGAAAAAATTTCTGCATTGTGAGCAGAAATAGCTGTCTTTCCTATGGCCTCCAGGTTAATGTCACAATTACAGACGTCACAGTGTGCGAAGCACTCACCCTTCAAGCTTCGTTTAACCTTGAATTATTTCCCGTACTCATCACGAGAAACGTTCTTACGTTTTCTCATTTTTAAATGTAGGCTAAAATAACTAGTGCAGCGCGAAATACAGTCATCATTAACCACCACCACGACAAAACCTAAGAATTACCACACTAACAATGCTTCATGCCTAAAATAAGAACATGCAAGCCAAAAATAAGACGCAAGCCAAAAATAAGGACAAATCTTAAAAATAAGGACGGTATGGAATCCCTGGTTTTAGTGCATCAGTGACGAAGGCTCTGTTGCGAAGAAACTAAGATCTTTTGACAGACGCGATAGCTCTGTTTTAAACACGCAATCGAACTGCCGTCTGATTTGTGCACTCGCAGACGAGGGGTCTAATTACTGTACACCCCGTCAATGGTAATAATAAATCTAAAGGTATTAAAGTTAATGATGTGGTTTATCGGTGTCAGTCCCAGTGGGACTCCGACAGGGGCATGTTATTATTTAAATGTCTTTACAGTGCTGACCTCAAGACCCTTCCGTCCTATTATTGCTCCAATGTAGTTGAGTCATGGCCATTTCAATGCAGACATACGTAATATGATATAATTATGAATTTTCTATATAAGTTATGGTATAGAACTCCCCTAGTTGATAAATGTCTTGTCCAAACAAGGTAATTATGTTTATTTCGAATTTGCAATTGGCATATTAATACAGCCGTTTTAAACTTCCATACAAAATTATTGTTCGCTAATTGCATTGGAGAAATTGATATTTGATTTTGGTCAATGAATTAATTTCCATTTCACTATCACGCTTTTTTTATTGATACATTTCGAATAAATAGTCATGGAGACGTAATACTGCATTTGTATTGCATTTTAAATTTTTGTAACATTAACTGAAATATCAAATGACAGCCATTACGAGATACTATAACAGGTTATTTCCACAGCCTGCTCGAACAATAAAAAACGCAATATTGTAAAACTGTGTTACATCTTCATTTCGCTAGTCGCGGTTTTCATATTGTAATTCTCCGCAGTTGACAAGGCCTCCATTTCATTGACACGAAAATATCAGAATTCGAAGAGTTGCCGAAAAGCGATGCAACACCAATTGCGTAACATGCTAAGTTATTATTCTTCGTCCACTTCAAGGTGGCCTTCTCAATAACCAATTCCAAAACATATCAAAATTGCGCCACATAAGACGTACGTCCAGCAATTCTTTTTGTCGGAAACATTTGAGATATCACACCTATTTCAGCGAGAGGAAATTAAAATAAAATTAAGTGTGTGTGATACACAGTAATATGAAAGGTACCGCGGGACGGAATACTTGTCATTATAACTCATTATTTTGATAATTTAATAATTCTGGATACATGAGTATTTCCTATTAAAACGTCGCGCTCAATTAACAAGAATTTTACTAAATTCCGTTCTAACTTATAGGTTACGGCGTCGAGGGACATATGCAGGCCATGATTGGTCTTCTAGAACCAAAATAAATTGGATTGTAAAATCAACTTCATATTAACAGCAGTTACAAAATTCAGAAATCCGTTTTTGCGCAAAGATTATTATATATATATATAAATATAATTTACGGCGCCTATCTGGCATCAAATGGTTTTCAGTAAGTCTGTTACAATAGTAAATTACTATTAGCTAAAGTATTTTAATTTAAACAATAGCATATTCACTATCTTTTCTTTATAATCATTTAAGAGATAATTACAAGTCTTCGTTTACCAAAGATACTTATTACTTCACGCACACGCACTATATTCAATCAATCAGCCCAAATCGTTCATAGAACTCAATACGTTTACATGGAACTACATTTCATAAATTATTTTATAAACAATAGTGATAAAATACCAGTGCACTATAGACAACTTTTTCTTTCGTATTATCGAAGTGGGCAGCATAAACGGTGGTCTCCAGCCAGGTATGCTGTCACAAAGTCAATTAGCCGTATTAGTCTGCTGATCGAAGATTTAGTTCGCACACTATTTTCGTCTGTCAGTTATAGACGAAGAACGAACGCAATAACAAATTGTCTTTAAGGTCAACCACAAGATTTTGATGCAAATTTTAATATCAAGTAAGTTAAGAATAAGCAGTAACTTTATGTGAATGTGAGGTTAAAAAAGCAGAACAATTCAGTACCGCCGGAAAATTACTTGATTGGTATGCATGAGATAGCATTAGTTTAGAAGTCTTTCAAGACAGATATATACAGAAATTTCAAAAAACTCAAAAGTTGAAAGTAACTAAATTACCAAATCCTTTAAATTGACAAAATAAACACTTTTTATTAAAATTATTCAAAGATGATTACGATAAACCAGTAAAGATCACGAATATAAAGCATTCGGTTGGAACTTAAAAATGTGGCCATCTTTGCAATTTGTACTCAAAATTAGATTCACCTGTCTTACTTATATTATCGCGCTAAAATGTTTCATTGCATCCTTTAATCCTACCCGTCAAATATAAATTCTAGTGGATAACTAGTAAAAACATGAATAAAAAACAAGAACACGGAAAATAGCAGTGAAATTTTAATTGTCCCAATTATATTTTATAACTCGTAAATTGAATAGAACACATTTTTTCAGAAACCAATTTTCAATTAAGAGGTTTCACCATTTATCGTTGATCACGGGGAAATCCCCTGGGTGAGCAGTGTCATTTCACATAAATAATGTTATTTTTGGTGGCACGGCACAGAATTCAGCCACTTTTATTTCAGTACTGCTTCAGTTGCAATTCCACGTTGAATTAGCGTCGCATATATATAATTTATATTCGTGATTCTAGGCCACGCCAGATTGGCCATATTTAGGAACTATTTATTTATTCATGGTGTATTCTTATACTACAGCTCTTAAAAATAATAGTTCATCTGAGCAGATGGATTTATCGTGTTTGTAAAAAAAAAAAAAAATTAGTAAAACGCTTGTAAAGCAGGAATGTGTTCTCTTCAAAATACTTCCATAACTCATCATATGACCTTTTCGTGGGTCAAACCCAAATAAGAAACACAGAAGTTATATCTGTGACTACTCAGACGGCGGTTAGAAAATGGAAAAAATAATTATGATTCAAATGGAATTCGGAGATGGTTAGCTGTTATCGGTATTTAATTATGATTGTAACTTGTCTGGCGGAAATCATCCGTCTGTAAGCAATATACTACCAGACGCGTTTGTGTAAGAAAACAAGGTGAATCTCACTTGGAATATGTTTTGAGTAGGGCAAAAATCTTTTTTTACTGTGTAAGGCTGGTAATTTTTGAGAATTTTATTCTAAGGCAAATGGTGTCCTAATGGTTTCTCTAATATACCATGACCCAATTTTTCCATCAAACAAATTTTGATAATTCGTAATTAGTCTTCCATTTTGTTACCAGTTGATTGCCGGTTTTGAAACGAGGCTTATACAATTTTCCCCGTCATGGCGCTCTTTGTAGTGGCCACACTTGGTTATTATTTTGACATTATGTCAGTTTTATTTTTTCAAATAGAATATTGAGTAGGCTACTTATAATGTAGCTTTGTGTAATCGACAGAGATTTTTTTTATTCAAAACAGAAAGCATCCGCGATAAACTATTTATATACTACAAAATTTAAAATATACTAGTTTGCGTAACGCTTTCTTTCATTTATTCAAATTATATGTACCGAACTTTCTCCATAAAAGACCGCATGAGTGTGAGTGCGCGGATCATTGAAAGAATTTTAAACAAAAGTATTAATTCATTCAACAGGATGAAATATTAATTGCTGAGATTAATTTATTAACTGTCACTCATCTTTTATGATATAACCAATATTGAGTTAGTAATTATAGGAAATTTTCACATTTGTACATTAGAAAAGGAAAGTCAAAAATATTATCCAGAAAATAACTTCACGAGATGTATTATAAATATTATTTTTACTATAGTCTCGCGTTAGAACATTGACACGTTGCCTTTTTGAATATGTCTTGGCGTTTAAGCCAGCATGTATAATCAAAGATCATTAGTCAACACAAAAAAGCCATTAGAAGGGACTTAAAATTCAATAGCGCAAATTGTGTTGTTATTTTACTCTGCCTATTAAACATCATGTCGACAAGAACTTTTCCGAAAGTGACGAAAACCTCAAAGGTCTGATGCTGTATAACGAACTTTCTTAATCCGTTCATAATGTTGCTTGATCATTAGCCAGTGAAATGTATAAGCGATGAAAAATTGAAAGACCGCGACCTTTTCTATGCTAACGAATGTTGCAATACCTATATAGAGCATAGTGTTGAAATACTCGCCCAGCTGGAATAAAATTACCCAAGACTCAGACGTTTATGCAATACGGCAGAATAAGCGACATCGTATGTATTGAAAAAGGTAACTAGACATAGTCAAACGTGCTCGTTTCCCTAATTCACTACCCTGTATTTGATTTGATCATTGTATTGCCCCAAATAAGTATTGGAGTATAATTGCGTATTCAGTTTTTGCACAAAAGGCGCCATTTGGTTATGCAGAAATTACCAGCCTTTGTCGTACTTTGTTACGAAACCAACGGTAAACATTTAGAGCGTCAAAGAAAATTTGTATAGCCACATTTAACATTGCAAAATCATATTTGTGAAAATTTAAATGTGGAGCAATATTCTGTTCGTATTCTGGCGATGGGTAAATGTTTTTGCATATGTGTTCTTATTAACATATCAGGCAAGCGTCGCTGATCACTGCCTCAATGTAATGTCTTATTCTTTCATTTTTAACTATCGATCCTAAATATACGAAATCATATCTCATTTGAATATTTCAAATATTTTGTAAACCCCATCCGTCAAATTATTTTCCGGCTTACTGGCATGGGGGATGCTTCGTAGTATTCAACGAAACGGCAACGAAACAACGGCAGTCTCAACGAAACATACAGACGCAGGTTACGCAAAGCAAAACAATGATCATGTATTTATGCTGTAGTAGAAACATAGAATAGACAATTCAACTGAAATTTTTGAAGACGTCTTATTTTTGGCAAGTATACGATGGAGTTTTATGTACCAATTACACTGTAATGTAATGAATCGTTGACTTCCGTTATTCGCTCGATGAAACCTCTTTATAATACATCATTTCAAAATTAATTTTGGTGTGTGTATTTGGACTTGCAATCTAAAGTCCTATTTCCGACTTGAGTAAAACTATGTTAACGGCAATTGCTCTATTTTGCAAAATCCATGTTAATACGGCTCGTAAGTATCGATATGAAATTTTAATCATAATTATATTTTAGGCAAATGCAAAAATATGTACAGTGCTATAAGTGAGGAATTACAGACTAAAATTTAATATGACTCAATGAGTGTAGCAAGTAGCTTACAGTTGCAATGAGATTTTCATATTATCAGTCTGATATCCTAGATTTCGACATATCGAGCCAGCAATTAAAATTGAATAAGGCAGTCAAGATCCGACTCGGCAGCACGACTTTGTGCAACATCTTGCAAAAGCGCGGCCTACGGGGAGCGGAGTGACAATGCATACAAATAAACTGTGGGGTCATATTTATATATAGGCAATACCAATAAGTTATCAAATTAAAACAACGGGATGATCACGAAGTCTGCACTACACACACATGGCGTTCATTGGTGATTGACGTTGTTGACGTTTAGAGCGAGATACAACATGTAGACAGTTGCAAAATTTATGTTGTTACAGTGACTTGACACTATTACAGATCTGAAGGAGTGGTTAGGACAGATCAAAGCGTTTATTTTAAGGCGTTTACTGGAACTTCGCAGTATCAAACGATTTGAAATGGGTCGATGTACAACATGAAAATTAACCACTTTGATCTCTCAGGTTGTTAAAAGTTCAGTCAATAGTTTTGTTATTTCGATGTGTTGGAGAATTGAAAAACACACAAGAACCTGACCTTTCAGCAGCTTGTAGAGAAATTCTTCACAGGTTGGATCAATACCAATTACTTACCACAACATCAACCACTGGGGCAGTAAGAGATGTTAGATTCCAGGTGGCGCTCATCCAGAGACAGCGTTCCAATCTCTTCAAAGGTGAAAGCAAAGTTAGGTAAAAGCAGCACCGGTAAGCTAGCACAGGATGGTGCTCGTCCCGCCAAAATAACTAACCCGAAGCGAGAGCTATTCAAGCATAACGGGGTAAATTTGATCCGTCATCGGAAGATTTATTAAAACAACAAATTTCTCGAAAGAAAATCGATGACGTATTTTAATGTCGGATATGACGCGTTAGTACTTTCCTAACTCATTGCTAAATGAAATAACATGCCGGATTGGCGTCGACTGCGACCCGTTACGTTCGCACCTTGTGAGATTCATATTCAAATGTGAATTAGTTGTTAATTCTAGCATCGAATTGATACAGTTGGCTGAGTGAAAAAAATTGTGAATGAATTTCTCTCTTTTCACTGCATATCGGGAAATCGGTACCCGGCTCAGCTGTTTAGTCATTTCATTTATCGACAGACGTGCAATACCAGACCACGGAAGATTATGATGTCTTTAATTTTTTTTCTCCCTAGTTGTACTACTATATTTCATTCACAATGTAGAAAAAAATGGAAAGTCTAGTTCATGGTTTCGTACCACTATATAAATATTGAAGATGCCTATAAAACGTCATTGCTGCTGCAATTTTTCACCAGATAAACAACAAACATATAAAGTGAAAAGAAGAAATTGTTCCAGAGATTGCTACCTGAAGGACTGTATGGTATAGCATCTGCAAGATGTATTTCAATATACCAAGCTTGCGGAATGTTTTTGTTTTTCTTGTTATATTTCCTTATTTATCTCCTAAAGCCCCATGGGTTCACAGAACTACCACGTCAAATTCAATTTGTTCTAAACTCGACTTCATAACTGCAAGGGGTGGACTTTCATTAAATTTTATTCCTAATATCAACTCAATGAACATAAGTAGGAGTAAAAACTTGGAAGTTTATAGTGGTTTTGCGGACGGTTTGTACAATGGACACGTGAAAGATGTCACTCGCGAAGAAAATAGACATCAAAAACAGAGACAGGGTAGAAGGCGTGTGGCAAAGAAGAAGCTTCGAAGCAATCGTAGACTGTTACCACTTAGACAAATTAAACGAAACAAAAGCACTGTAAAACGCATTCACACCGGAGAGCAAAATCAAAATATAGCAAAACAAAAAATCATGCAAAAAGTTTTAGACGAGCTACAATCGCACAGTCGTTATCAAAACAGCGAAGAAACATGTGCAACACGTTATGCAAGAAATATCATTTCTGACTCAAACGCAAAATTTCATCCTTACAAGGTAAGTTTGTTAATCATCTCATCGAGCATGTATTGCTGTTTCTTTTTATCTAATTAGAGATAAAAGTTAATACAAAATGAACAAATATTTTGAATCCCAATAATTAATTACTTGTACAGACATACGGCTCTCTGATTGATTCATCGTTGACGATAGACAGCAGAAATCGACGTCATGTCACCGGTAGCATTAACGAAGCTCAAGAACCTTCAGTCGCTTACTTCACTGGGAATACCCTGCTTCGACGAAAAGTTGACCTCATATCTGACCTTTTTACTGTGGAATTGTGGGTAAATCCAGAAGGCGGACAAAAGGACCCTGCAGTTATTGTTGGTAAGTTATGAAACAGAATGAATAATTGTTGGGATTATTAAGTCCGACCGCCAGTCAATAACTGCGCGTGTATCGCGCTCCATCTACGGCCCATATATGATAGTTGCACTCTAATATCAAGGACTGAATTATAACTTTTAATCGGCTCAAAATTGAAGTCGTATTGTTGTTTTGATATTCGTTTTCCATCGGTCAATTTATTCCTGTGGATGCTTATATTATATATGGAATACTTTTCCTTAATTGTTTATTTATTGAGGGAAACGACGGATGTCGTAATTAGGACCACCATTCCTCAATGCATATTTTGTGACACTTGTATCTGTCCTATAGAATGATAGTCACGGACTTTAAAATTCCTCCGGGCTATTATTGCGACTTATTTTGTTACGGTAAATTAAAATAGACATCAAAAGATCATGGACTGAAATACACGTTAATCTCCGCAGAAGATTTTTAAAAAGTTTATTGTTTTTTCAATCGTGCGGTACCTTATCCGTCCTGTTTACAATTGTCTTGTCTCAAATTTCAACGTCATACTCCGTGAGAATCTCTGAGAATGTATAGATACTGTTAAAAAAATCGTGGATTAATTATGGCTTCTGGTCACATGACGTATATGCTTTATTCCTTTCCAAGTATTTGCAAATAATTTTTAAATAAATTTATTTTGACCAAGACGTTAATTAGGAATCTAAAATTATTAGATTATCTATAATTATTACTTAATTTGATTCTTTAATCGTTGTATTCGGTGTTATAGTCGGTGGACTATTACATAACAAAATAATTCGATTTTAGGAAAAATGCATTGGAATATATATCAAAGACCGCTTCAATATTTATATGATAATCAACATTATTTAAAATGAATCACACGAGCTCTCGAGAAGTATTTCTTTTAGAGACTGTTGAATTTGAAGTTTAACACGTTATTAACAGTCGAAGAAGCATATATATATTTATACTAACCCTATATCTTACACGTCGCTACAAAAGTCATCACTACATCAACCGGTGTTTCGAGGCATAGTGTGCTACCGTAAACTGACCGCTACGACATTTAATTTTCTTTTTTTTTTCAACTTTTTTTTAACAGGTGTCTGCAATATAAAAATATTAGTAAATGACATTTCGAAACTTTTGTCGGGCGCAATTAGTGCTTGATTTAGCTTCAAAAGTAAAAATTGTGCTGCAGATTTGGTAATTTTAGCGTATTCTTTGGTATTTATTTAGCGGTTACGTGGCGCAAAAATTATTGGGAGAAAATGTTTTTCAAGCGATTTATTACTTTGATATGATATTTATATCATTTATCAGTTGTCAAGTTGAATAATCGGTTTAGCAGTTTGCAGTAATTTGATTATCTCATTTGATAAATGTTTTATCGAAAGTGAATATTATTTATATTCAAAATAATATCGACAACACATCAGTATTTCAATTTTTGTCGAGAGGCGTAAATTGCATCGATTATGTAAGTTATTTTAGCTTGATACATAGTTTCAATAACGCAAGTAACTTCACTTAAAATGTCTAATTTACGGAACGTTTGTAGTTACGTCAGCTCTTGGATACTTTTCTTTTCACCCATTGATCAGAAATTTATAAAAAGGAAGCTTTTAGTTCCTCAAACTTTGGAGCTCATTTGTACATTACGAATACCCCACCTCATCAGAGCTAAATTTGTTGGCAGCCATGGGGGGTATATAATTCACGACTTCGTGTATGCCCCGCACTATGCCAGACAAATATTATGTGACTAAGTAGTTGTTAGTACGTGCATCTGCACCTGTTAACACAACCACCCAATATAAACGACACTTCATTTTGAACACGGATCATTGAATTACAGATTATCTACATGGGAAACTTGTGTTCCAAGTGCATGTAATTATGGGAATTTTGTGTTACTAAGGTCCCGCGACCTTTTTTGACCAGCCGCTAAATTATAATAAACCATGAATATTTGTATAAGTGCCTATTTTGTAAAAATACGCTCTAGAAATCTAACACACCAAACCACACTAGCGGCATGATGAAAGAAAAAATCGAAATACTGTATATTTTTGTAATGTCTATGACATTATGTTACTCGTCCAACAGAATCTGTGACGTCATAGGTGTGTGATAAAATCTATTGTTAGATGAAGTATATACAATAAAATGCAGGAATTTTTATGCAATTTTGATAGTTTTGATGTTAGAACCAATTAAATTCTGTGAATGCTATAATCAAACAGAATGTTTCATAGGATTTTATTCGTTTTAAATGGCGACTTCTCACACTTTTGATACAATTGTGTTGCGTCTTTGGACAAACAACGACGCTGCGCAAAGTGCTTCTACTTGCTACAAGTCCAAGTTTTTTAAAGTTCGATATTGCATTGTTAGGTTGTTTAACCTCAAGAGTAATATCGTTCTGGAATTAGGTAACAAGCGGTCACTTCCCCGAGTATGAATCAGCCCTTCGAAGCCCTTCGCTTCGAAGTAAGCGCTAACCCAATTAAATTGTAATATGCGTCGATGAATGCGCAAAACCAGCTGCTTAACTAACATAAAGGTATTGTACAAAAATGTTCAGAAAGATTCAAACATGCTATTTTGTTCTGCAATGTCGCTTTCTCTTCTGAGAGACAACAGCCCTTGAGAATGATAATGAAGACAAATTGAAGTTTTGCTAGTACAGTCAGCATTTACTATTAGCCGGAATGCTAACGATGTTTAGACGTAACACACCAAATGTATATGACCTTCCTAATCTTGCTTAGACTAGTAAAGCGATACTTTAAGTATTATTCCATGTCTGACTTTGTCTGCTCACCCTCTTACAACTGGTCTTGTCTTTCAACAAAAATATAGGGTGACCCTAAAAAAACAGAAATTTCTTAATTACTTTTGAGAAAATGAAGTAAATTTATTTAATTTTGCTTACACCTTAACTTCTGTTCGTGTATAATCGCACCGAAAAGTTCAAGTAATCTAGATCGCTTCGTTCAAAAGCTACGTTCTTTCTGAAATATATGTTCGAAATGACCTCCTCGGCGTTATATTATTACACTCCTCTAATATTACCCCATTAAAATCTTTTATACCAAATAGTATATTAAGTGGTATACTGTTTAGTTGAATTGGACTGTGGTACAAAAAATGTAGGCAAGAAAATTTCTTTCAAACTAGTATCCATCTGGCCTGTAATATTGCACAATGCAAATTTGTATAATTTACAATTTACATGGTTTACCATATTACTTTTAAAATATTTAGTATAATGAGAGCTTTCGATTTACAATTCGGAATTGATATCAAATTTTATTTGTATTTTATTCCTAGTTTGTGTTTCTACTTTAATTGCTTCATCATATTTTAGAAAGTATCTGAAAGTATCTATGTGATTCCTTTCGGTGTAAACACTATAGAATGAAAAGTTTCCTTGGATGTTTTTCTCATGCCAAATCCAAGCATGACTCGCACTTGTTTTATAATAAACCCCTTGTCTGAAGACAAATCTCATAGGAATTCGACTAGTAAAACAAGCTGCATTTAAACAAATCAATCATTGCTAAACTGACGATGTTGTACGCGCACATCGGTGTGACTCATAGTGAATTAGTACGAACTGCATAAACTAATATATCTAAGTTGGATTGTAAACAAAGAGAAGTTAAGACGGCAGCCATTTTGACAGTTACCACAAGACGACCTAATTCGACCAAGGCCTTTTGAGTGTCGAATTTTGTAAATAAGCATGGACAGAATCCTAATTATTGATAAAACTTGCTACCAAATTAGACAAGCTGTGTTTTGAATTGCTATACATTTGTGTTGATTTTTATTCAATTAATCAATGACTTAGTTTTTCCATTTCTGTGGAAAAATGATACTCACATTGGTAAGACGAAAATTAATCAAATGCTTTGTTAGTTTAGTTATCTCTTACAGAGGTCAACCATGTTATGTTCGAAAACAAACTAATAAATTAGATGTCTACGTTTGTGCAAACGAACACGTACTTTTTGGAATTGACTAAAAACACGCGATTCTTCTTTGATCCATATTTGAGACAAAATATAGTTTCTGGTTGCTTGTCTTTCAATGGCGTAAGAATGTTCCTAAAATACGTGCAATAGGATGCGCATGCGGGGAAGACATAAAAACATATTCAATTCAAAACTTTAAATAAAATATATTTAAAAAATGTTCATTTTTGACGAAATAATAACCCTTGATGTGTAGATTCGAATATTCGAAATGAATCGAATCGCTTGACTTTATCCGGATTTTCGTTTCATGAAATTGGGCGTATCCTAAACTCCCGTAAAAACATGGTTCATCTTATACTTTTCTTGATAAAATTTCAATTTTCAGAGAAGTAATCACATTATACAAAATACGAAAAACAACAATTTGCAAAAATTTTGCCGACATTTTGCATATTAGTTCAAACATAATTGTTCCATTATTCTTAGTTGCTCATTGAGTTCCCACCTTGACGACAATCTGGAAAGGGCGCTTTTGTTGAGCCTTCTGTAACATTAAAGTTACGAATAAAGCGTGTCATTAGTAAAATGAACTATCAACGAACTTGAGCTGTGTTGCATGTTTGCTGTGTTTTCATGTAATCCTGTTACTATTATTTAGTATTGTGGTATTGGCAATAAATAGTTTAATCGAAACCCTATGTCATTTATTTCATGCTTGATATATACATAAATTGCGTCTAGCAATCCTTGTTCGTTTATGATCCGTGCTTGCATAGGAAGAACCAAATTGCCCCTCCCCAAAGTGATCACGAAGTTAATGTATTTTTAAATGTTTCTATGACAACACTGCGTAACAACGGAACACGTAACAATAGATTGTTTAGTTATGTAATCCGGTAGGAAATCACGTTCTCAGACATAATTAACCATGGGTTATGTATTTTGCATGCTGTCTGGTTGAATTTGTATATATTTTTTGTTATAATTTCCAAAAAAGTGTTGGAATTGAGTAATAATTAGACATTAGTGGTAAATCAGATTATAATTTCATTAAATGAAATGATTGTTACGCGGAGTTCACGATCTTTCCACCTACAAATATTTGCCCTAAAGGTCGATTTCAAATGAGACTATAGTTCATGACTGTGTCGCTAAATCTGGGTTTAAAGCGACTAATACGATCATAGCGATTGTACCGCAGAGTAATCATAAGTCGAATGGAGCAATTCTTAGAGCACGAACCAGAAAATACAATTCTTCGAAAACATAATATATAACAGACCCAAGGAAATGGATCAGTACAAATTATTTCGTCAAAAATAAACTACTCATTCTTCAAAAATAGTAACTTTAATGGTGTTTTAAATATATTTTGAGCCTCTGAATCAGTTCCGATTTACAAGCCCGAACCAGGCCAAAAACTCAGTGCTGCTTTTAAACACTATTTCACAAAACGTCGTTTAAGGTATTTTTATAGTGCTGATTTCAAATCCATTCAGGACTATATTCTGGGCACATTGTGAGCAAGAAAATTGCAGGTTTAATTTAACTTCAATGCTTTACGATAATCCAACTGCATCATTTGACTTAAATAATATTAAAAAAAAGACATTTTTGTAATTTAGTTGGACGGAAAGTTTGATTATATGAATACGAATTTTTTTCGCCGCATTTTGATGAGACTATTTTACCAACTTTTTATTCCGGGAGGATGTTTTTGCGACAGTGGTCAGAGAAATATTTCGTTTAAAACACATTCTAACTCAATATTACTCATAATTCAAATAATTGGAATATTTAATAATGTCAACATTTAATTGTATATGTGTTTTGATAACATTCTTAGCAGTATTTGCCGTATGGATTGCTTTTGTTCATTCGACTCGATCTTTATCGCATATACTCGTACATGCATGTATGGCATAACATACTGCAATTTCTCTCAAGTTCAACTGTAAGTTTTTTTTCTGGTCCATTTTTAAGTTAGAATTGAGGCGGTAAAATCATTTATTCTGATGTTTTTTTCGTGGCGTGATGGAATTCAAACACAATTGAAAGCCAAACTTGGTTCCAAACATTTTCAGACGTCGAGACTTGAACTATAGACGTCGGACTAAATTAAATCAAGCAAAACAAATAATTCCACCTAAGCTTTATTCGTTATTATCATTTAATTTGAAAATTATTAGAATATTTTGTATTAACACTTGAGACAACACGCTTGTTTAACCCTGTGGCCTTTCGAATATGGTACTAAGACGGTAATAACATTCTTATCTGGTATTGACCGTTTTGTTGACACATAGCAACGTTAAAACACAGCTAGTTTATATACAAAAAATTATTAATTTAAAAGTAACCAAACAAAAGCATGTTAAGCGCGTTAAGTTACCTTAAATATGAATAGAATGCCTCCAAAAATAACACATGAATTGTATACTATCATATTACTACAATCTTATTTTTACAATAGACAACGGGCAAGCTTTAAGTTTTAACGTAGTTTCTACGTTAAATAAATGCTGTAACATTCACGAAAAACGCAATTTCGGATTTCTATAATACTCCCTAGATCGTGTTTTCTGATTATTGAAATTAGTGGAAATATTATTTAGCCATCCAAATTGGTGACGGTGCATTCAAATGTAAAAATTTAATCGTTTTCGACGTCTGCGCTAATTATAATATTTGTAAATAATAGCGATCAGAAAGGTTCTCACTAAAGCAGAATTCAATTCACACCTTTGCTTTCAAACAAGCTTCGAGCAGCCACTGACCCGAAAATAGCGACTATGACAATGGTAATAACGTATTCTGGGTGACCTTTGTATACATAACATAATGGATCACAGTGTTTCCGCAATAAAATTGAATATTAAAAATTATTATTGAATTATTAGGTAATAAAAAGGCTGAAACCACCGTTTTGAACCGTATGACGCCTACCTATAATTTTCCATGAACGAGTTTTTAAAACAATATCCGAATTTCATCTAGCATTCAAATTTGACCGAGTGGTTTATTGACCTAGGCCCCTTTCTATATCCACGATGATAACACCCACCTGGGTAGGACAGGAGTATCACCCTCTTTTTCCGCTTGTCATGGGGTGCTATACCTTTAACCGCATTAACGCTTCTTGTAAAAATTCGCGCATTAAAATGATTGATCAAAGCGATCTTCGTCGGTGGTCTTTTGATGACAATCTTCCCAAACTTGATCGTGTTCTGTTTAGTGCTATATGCCGTGCTTTTACCTCGAAACAAGCTTCGTCGACTGTTTTAACAGCCAGTAATGTTTTCCGATTATTTCGCCTCTCAGCGGATTACTTCGCGGTATTAAAGATTAGTACATTGAAAAATAAGTGTGGGTGGGCGATTTTTGAACTTTTAGCCCTATTGAACGACGGATAGACGCTCACTTACAGGCGCATAATGTACTTAGGGGCGGTTTTCGTCGGTCATTCACCTGCTAGGGTGTAGAATGTGGGGCAAATCAAATTTGAAACGCGTGACTCCCAATGACGTCAAAATGTGAGAATTATTTTATGCGTTTATGCATCAAAATGTTCCTACGATGGTTTGATAAGACAAAATATACATATATAATTTCAATATGATATTTGCACTACATCCTAAATATATATAACATGAACTAAAATAAAATGATTCATTTAAATTTTCATAATTTTAAGTGATATGAACTGCTCCGACTGCTTTCATTCCTAATTATAATGCTTTAGAATTATTGAACATCTATATTTATATTTCAACTTTTTACCTACAAGATATATATAATTTTTGCTTGTTTTTAACAGCTTGTTATCGCACGATGGAAGGAGGGCGTCTCGAAAGTGTGTGGAATCTCGGAATAAAATCCAACGATGATGAAACAGTTTTCTATTTTTCATTAATAAAATCTACTGGAACGGTAACGGCATACTCTCCGTATGCTTACAAACCTGAAGAGTGGGTAAGATTCTTGCTTTTCATTCATATAAGAATGGTTCGAAGTCGTGTGAAGCCTGCTGTCATAACTGGCCAATCTTAGTAGTTTCTCACCGTTTAATTTGAGAGCTCTTTTTTGACGCAAACCCTAACGCTGATTGTACAGGTTTCCACATAGTTTGCTTACTCAGAGAGTATCAACAATATTCATACTGCGTATGTATTGTGCCGGCAAGTATCGGCCAATAGCACATAATGGCGCATCTCTACAATCTAAAAAGAGTGTAAGAAACTAACTAGATGATGTCAAAGATTCAGATTCTTAGGAATATTGAAGTTCTTTGGTCCAGAATCGAGTTCTCGGTACATGTTTAGATGTATAATAATAAAAAAATAATTTATGTAACCTATACGAAATACATGCTGTATGGTTGAAAATACGCACGTGCCTAATGCCACGAATAGCTTACTTTATACTATAGAATTTGGGGTAACATAGCGTTTATTTTGTTACGGAAAATTAAGAATTTAATACACATAAATAGAAAACTCGCTACAAAAACTCTAACTCGGTATGGTCTACCAGGTTTCATGTCTGAACTTGTTTAAGATAATTCGATTTTAAACGACCCGTGACAATTTTGGGATTCGCTGTTGAACGTTACAAAAATAAGATGTGTTTTACTTCACAACTGTGTTTATATCTACGGTATAAAGTCGTGTTGAAATTATACAGGATTTACAAAACGTTTCAAGCACAAAATTCTGCCCACAAAAAATATAATATCATGATAATCTCTATTTATATTTGTTTTTCAAGACTCATTTCACCGTGAGTTCCGGCGAAGATGGTACTATCAGACTGTACGTGAACGGGGTGCAGGTGGGGGCTCGACACGAACCAGGAAGCGGCGAATTATCCAGACAAGGGGCGCAATGTGATACCCTGCTTTTGGGAGGAAATGAGAAAATGACTCACGGATACAGGCAATTGTTTTTTGATTCTATAAATTTAAACAGACGAAAGAAAAGTCAAAACATTGACGATGATTGTCACGTTCACTGCAATTTAGAAATAATATAATGCGTTGTGGTGATAGAACTTCAATATATACGAATACTTTATAAAAATGAATCCCACGCGGTAATAAGTAATGTTCTCATTTTTGATCACGATACAACTTTATTGGTGTTTTGTTGTATAAATATATATTATGATTGTTGCGTGTCAAAATTTAAATAAACCAACTATCTATTTTAAGATTCATTTCCTATTCTAACAGAGGAATGATCGACCAACTCAAAATTTTTTCCCAAATTCGACCGCAGCAGGATATTACTCGAGACATGTACAATTTTGAAACTTCTCACCTCACCGATATCGTTCAATTAAAGGAAGACTTTGATAGTTTTCGACATAGTTGGTTATCAATCGGAAGAAATGAACCTATCATTTTGAATAAAGATATTCCATCTGAAGACCGCCGGTACTAACTTTACTTTTGTTAGTTTTTGTACGTAATTTTTTTGAAGATAGAATAGATTTCAATATTGAACGTGCAGAGATACATTCGGATACATTCGACTGTTTTAACATAATTTATATAATGTAACTCTAAGATCTATACACCATTCATGAGTTAGATGGGATCACTATGTAACTGTCATGTTTTGTTCCCCAACAGGCCCCAGATCAATGCCTCAATCTATGGAGTCAGCGTTTTAAAGCACAATTTGAAAGCCAATTTAAATTCCTACAGATATACCCGTATTGAGACGAACAATATAATGTTATTCCATATTTGAATAGCTGCTATCTGGCTATTTTAATAATTGAAGAAAAAACTTTCCCGTTCCTTCAAATACTGCTTTCGAAACTTTAAGATTTGTGATGCACTAATCATATCTCGCGGTTTTGCTATTATAACATATTATGATGAGGAATGTTTTGAACAAAATGCAACGATAGAACTTATGTCCCTTGAATTTTTCATTATTTTGATCATGTTTGTTTCGATCAGATTACATTTTCCGGAGGTGAGAGCACCACCCTGCGGACAAACTATTTGTGACAATCCTGAAATCGTTCGCAGTTACGTCGACAACTGGACTTTACGTAAACCTAAAACATTGCGATATAATATTGTCAATATAAACCAAGACGATGGAAGCAATCCCATGTTTACAGTGGATGACGTCAAACTTCAGGTATATATCTAAAGTGATAAAAATTACTATCAGACTACAAGTAGCCCGCGTGTATGTGTGCATCGTTTTACAATAAATCGGCTGTCACGCTTTTCTGTTACTTCTAAGTATCGTATTTTTGAATATTCTTCAGTTGAAATTAAATGGTATGCACTGGACCTCCCGTAATGACATTTTCAGTACACCGTTTATTTTTTTGTATCAAGTGGAACACAATCATCCTTACTTGTTACATACAATGGACTGGGGTTTAAATATTTTCAAATGTATTCTATAAAGTCTTCCTCTGTATATTTAGAGTGCTGTACTTAGCGAAGTCTTCGATCGTCACAACATTACTTGGGTCCCGACCTTAGTTCACATTAACAATTCAAAATTAAGAGGAAAAACAATTGGATGCGAACCTACGAAAATTGGGAACCAACAGTAAGTTAAAAAAAAGTCATGGACAAATATTTTGTTTTTGTTTTAAATTAAAACATTGATATTGTAGCCTCATGATGTAGCAACGATTTATATAACAATATCTAAACTAAAACATAAAAAATGTATATATTAATTTGTAAAATTTTCAGGCATTCCTAACGTGCAGTCATTTTGTACACAACTGTGTGTATTTTGTTGTTGATACCATCGAAAATTCACACCAAAAGCCAATTTGCTTGTAATTCGGCTTTTATTTGGTTAAAAGCGTGTTTAATTCAATAGGTTTGGGTCTGAATTTTGACTGTGACGCAACGCGTGCAAATTAGACCCACTTTTTCCAGGCGGATACATTTAGCACGCGATATAAACGATGACGCTTACTGCTATGACGTCATTTCTATAAAATTTATGGGTGAACCCAAAGGTGGCTGGGCTAGATCAAAGAGAAAACCGATCGACCGTTTGATGAACCCCTTATGAGATCAGACAAAGTTTGTTTAGTCTGCCAAATTATACATCATGATGCATCAAAATAGAAGACTGTCAATATTACAAATACAATACAGGCCTTCAATTCCAACTATTAAAATGAGACGCACTGTATGGAATTTTACAGCCAGTTTATACCGTCCTAAATCAGTCATTTTCACGCGAAATTCAAATATATAATCGTGGAGAGTGACTTTATGGTCTGGTAATGAACTGTACAATTTTAGTGTATCAGTTTTGGTACGCCCGCCGTAGAAATGACATGGATTTCCTGCTCAGTTGATAGCAAGAAGATATATATTTTAAATTACTGACAGGCGATGCTAAGGTGTACTATTTTAACGCTAACTTCACAGTTGCGAATATGCAGTCATAGCAATTGAGATGACCAATGCAGACAAATAATACGACACAAGGCGACTGTGCTATTTCGCTGCTTTTAGCATTATTACGTAATTCTGCATTAATCGCTTTGTACATTGACTCTAAAGAAGTTTGAAAATCATTCATTTCGACATAAACAACGTTTTCTATACACATAAGCAGGCCCTGTTGGCAATGTTAGTTTATTTCGTCACACTGCCTTAGACCAATCTTTCATTAATTTAGAAACAATCGAAAATTGTTATGAATAAACTAATATAAATATAAATTATGAAGTCAGTTCTCAATATATTGTACCAGGTTTTTGTTTATTAAGTAATTGTTCAAGTATTTTGCTTCATTTAATACATCTGTGAGGGCCAAAACAATATATGGTATCGATAAATTCCATTTGCGATTTTAAAAAATTGAAAGACTTTATGGACACTTTATATTATTTAAAAAAAATATTTAATTCTCAAACAAAAAACGTTAATTAAACAATAAAATTACGACAATATTTTTATTTGACAAATTTTGCTCAAAACATATAAGGAATTACAGGGTAAAAACATGGCCTGTTCCCACACTATAATCGTGGTACTAATAGAAAATTATTCATTAGTGTCGATAATGAAATTTATTTGCCCATTTGCAATATTCAACGTTTCTGCACATGTGCCCTTTTAATAACCTTCCTGAGGAAGTAGTAAAGTACATAATGTAAATATACGGGAGCCTCGCGGTGAAATTCGATAAATGTGATAAGCAGAAAAGTAATGTTGTCGGTTTCACGCACGGCGACGTGATTCTATCTGTAATTTTCTCTTCTTGTTCAATTTACATTTTTATGGGTTTTTACCCCCAAAATTGCTTTTTGGCAAATAATTGTTAGCGGAAATTTCTTGTGTTCTGCTTTGGAAAATTAAGATGAATTTGACACCATGTTTGTATGTACGTTCATCAACCGAAATAAGAGTATTATCGATCGACCCATCTGACGCATACGTGCCGTGGTGTAAATTACCCCAAAACAAACTCCTAAGCCTCATTTCTCCTCTTGCGGAGATGGCAAAGATTGCATCTCACACTAAATGGACCACACCTGAAGACTTTTTTGTAGGAATATACGAAAAAATAAGTTTGCAATTCTTGTGTTGGTAATCACTTTCCGGCTATTGTAACAAAGAATATAATATTATATAGATAGATGATAATTTAAATAAGACAATCGACTCGCTGAAATTTCGTAATATTTTAACACACGTACTTACAATATAATTTCTCATTGGGAACACAGGAAATATTTACTAATACTACAATGCAACTTAGAGACGTATATCAAATCAAATACATTCACCAATTGTGAAACGAGTGAACCCTTGATTTAAAATTTGGGTATGGTAATATTGAAAAATGCCTATATAGTCATTGAGAAGTTTACAGAGTTTTAAAGTCTTTCTTTATTTTCCTATATTTATTTTTTTCAATTACAATATTATTGTCTGTGAGGTTCGCAAGCCACAGAGCTGAATATTCCAGCTTTTTAGAGCATAACATCTAGCTGATTTTAAAGAGCCCTGACTGGAGAATTTCTGATTCACGTAACTAAATACCCTAACTTTTAGATGTAACGTGGAATGTATGCATGCGAGACTTGGCTATGATGGAGGCGATTGCGATTTGATAAAAAGCGTGTGCAGTCCAGAACAAAAAGGAGACGGACATTGCGATCCAGAATGCAACAAAATATACCATAGTTGGGATTTGGGTGATTGTTGCATACCTAACAATACAAACACTGATGATACCTGCTTCGATCCAAAGTCTCCTCACAGGTGAATCACAATTATAATTGCCAAATAAAACATAAAAAGGTAATATGAACGGTTACTAAGGCAACAGGTTGAAGCAAATATTATCTATCGCCTTCACGCACTTTTTGGAATAATTCAAAAATTATTGACACTTATTTGCTTACAATTCAACAAATGGTTTGATTACAGCTGAGTAATTGGATTATGGTACTCTGTATACTCTGAACCTTGAAAAAATGAATCAAATAAAAAGCAATAAAAATATATTGAAATTTATCATAATAACTTCTTATACGAGAATTAAAAATCTATCTTTGGGATATAAGCACCTAATATTGGTATCTTGATTGAAAAGCAATAATATTAAATTTCAAGAACTTCTTGTTTTTCCAGAGGATATTTATGTATAACGGAATACAAAGCTTTAGTTGGAGCTGACAATGAAAAACAACTCAATGTATTGTTCGCAAACTGGACAAATCCCAACTCTATCGGCATTTCCACATTTCCCTGGGACAAAGAGGTTTTCACGTCACAAGGCAAGTAATCAAAAGTCTCAATAACTATAGAAAATAAGTTTATAATATTTATTCGTTATTTGTTTGAATTAAACTGAATGAAGCGATGATTGTGTAAATTTTGAATCAGCAATTCACAGGCTTACGGTAAAAGTGAGCAAGCGTGTGTCAATATCGTTTTCTCACTATCCCTTTTCTATACATGGCACCCATTTATCGTAAATAATAAACAAAAAGTATGTTGCGTTAACAAAAATTAAATTGCAGTTATGTTAATTTAGGCGGAACAGTAGTTCAACTAAAACGATACACAACACGAGAAGAAATGTCAGGTTTAGTTCATGAATTAGGACATAATTTAGGATTGTTGCACGTACACCATGGATCCCATAACGTTGACTGTGATGATTCTTGTGCGGAATTAAGAGCATCAATGATAACAGGTATGAAAAACTTTGATGTAATAGACCAGCGGTTCCCAGCCGGGGCCCGGAGCCCCCAATGAGCAGTAGAAGGGGGCCACAAATGTAGGTGCAAAACTGATTTCTCTGGACAAGAAAACTCTTCCTTCCGTTCTTACTAGTTTCATTGCTTGATACGGTTATTTTACATGGTGTTTTCACTTTGTCGAGCATGAAGGTTGTGAATCAAAGTATTGCGCAATTTTGGATTTGTCCACAAGTCTAATTTCAGACGAAAACTCAAAATCCGGCAAGATTTGATTACAAAATATTATTTTTATTTTTAGGAGATCTGTGTGAAGATACAAATCCAACACCAATGAACATGTACTGTGGTGAACCAAATGGATCTCAGGCTGTGTGTAGCATCCATAATTTTACGATGACGCCTTATACCAACTTTATGAGTTATGCCGGTACATATATATATCCGTGTGTTGATTAGCTATTCTTTCATAAAAGAAGTGTTGAGAAAACGGACAATGGTTTCTACTTTTTAGTCATTCAAAAATCGACACAATTCTTTTCTTTCGTCTCAGGGTTGTCAAAAAGGACCAGGAATTCTTTTAAAACTGACTATGATTTGTAGTTGAGTTGTAAATTGTATTAAGATTCTTACTTCGGTTTTGAAAATTTTTCGGTGTTCTGCATAGAGTTGTAAAACTAATTAAAATTGTATTTAAATAGGACATTGCTGAATACTTTGTTAACAAACTAAATTCTACCACAAAAACTCTTTCAGATGGTTCGTGCCAAGATAATTTTACTCCTCAACAAAGAGGAAGAATGCATTGCTACATAGATTTGGTATACGGTGAATGGAGAACTGAGCATGTTATTTCCCCGATACCAATACCCCCGAAAATAGTCTCAGCTTCTGCTTCAGACAGGTAGGAAAATTATATAAATTGCTGCCTCATTGAGCTGCTTACATTTACAAATAGAATAATAACATCTCATAAATCAAATCTCACCAAAATAAAACGTGAATTTTGTGTTTACAGAACTGTTGTTATATCATGGGCGCCCCCAATAGATGGAAGATTAGTTGGAAACGACCGGAAATGCGATTCACGATGTTTATCAGATAAAATGTTGAGACAATATGGATTTAATGCAAGCTCATCAGGTAGTTATATTTGGTAGGATATTGAAATTATTTTTTACTTACCACTGTGATTTTGTATTTACTACATTTATTTGAATAGAGGATATGTCCCTACACAGACGATGGTCTGCAGAACAAGCTACGGGACCACCCGATCAGGAAGCTTGTACATTACGGGGAATGCATTTTTGGATGCCACCTGACACCACTACACTAGACGATGATTGTGGAGCAAGGTAACTAACTATTACGATTGACAAACATTGCACAGACTACGGATTTTCGACATTTCAATTTCTGTGTTTCATTTTAATTATTCTACGCTAAAAATTACCTTTAAGTGAGTCTAAATTTCTGCCTTATTTCATACATAAAAGACTCGACGCTTTAGTTTATTTTATTGTAGCTGATGTCACTAAATGAGACTTTAAATTATTATTAGATGTTCTCTCGAAGTTGATTTTAAAGAATCGGTAATACCGTCAACAATACGCATATGGGTAACGTTTGGCACTGAAGATGGAGATGGAATAAAGAGCATAGAGCTTATTCATCACGAAGATAATACTGTAACGACAATTACGGATTTGACAGCGACTTGTGACACACCGTTAAGCGTACATGTACAAACTAACAAACCGGTAAGATAATTTTTACTTTCCAGTCTTTTTTTCTTCACAATATATCTCTGACAAGGAGTTCGCATAAAGAAGAGATTGAAGGGTGTAACCTTAACGGAAATTTTCTTTTCAGAGACAAAACTGGATATATCTGTAGTTATTCTGTACACTTTGAAACTGGAAATCGACTTTTTATAGTGCCTTAGTACTGCGAGTATTGAACTTTCCGTAATTTCATTTTATTCTTGCAGACTCGAAAAATTCGCATCAATGTCAATTACCCATATACTGCTGTGGACGCCGTAGAACTAATATCGAAAAAAGAAAACAACTTATGTGCTGGATGCAGGTGGGGACTAAACAATTGGAAAAGCAGCCTAACTCAAAACATAACAAAATGCAAATTCCTAGTTTTCGATTGAAATATATTTTACAAGACAGTTCTATGCCCCGAAAGTACAAATTGTAATAATTTCCACTTTTGACTGTAAATTTTTGGTAGATAATGTAAAATTAGTTTTCACCAAGTCTACTCTTCGTTGCGTGGCTTTCTTGTACAACATTTGTTTGAGTCCATGTCCATACTGTACATATTCCTGTATCATTTTTGTGTTCATAGGAGAATAAAATACAAAATTCATCGAGATCCACCATTTCCAAATGAACTCACGATGACGACAGAACAGCTCCACCACGTGGACAAGTAAGTTTGGTATTCCATCCTTGAGTTCTGAAATATTGCTCTCGCAATTATAAAAAAAAAATTATACATTGTAATTGTAATACATTTTATTATGGATAAAATGAACGCATTTAATTCGAATCGTACGGTAACGGATTGTGGAATTTATTCTTATGATAAATGTGTTTTCAGGTCATGTGAAGATGGCGTGACATACTTGTACTCTATTCAACCCATCCTACTTCCACATTACGGTGAAATAAGTCCTCCGGTAAAGTTCCGTCTTGGGCAAACTTTTTGTGGAGATGGTATTGTTCAGGTGCGAGATTTTACCTTAGTCTGAAATATCTCACACTATTATATGATAAAATTCCGAAGATAGATAGTATAGATTAACATAAAATCATATAGGCTTTAAGGTGAAATGTGATTTTTTAAATGGAGAATATTCATAAGCAGTGTACTATGTGCGATAACGATCAACCGCTAATCTGATTATTTGAATAGGAGCTTAATTCGAATGAAGAATCCGAAGAATGCGATGATAGTAACATGGAAAATGAAGATGGATGTAATTCATTCTGCCAGATTGAACATGGATTTTATTGCAAAGGTATTTACAATATTTTGTTCAACACACATGTATTATGTTATTTGAGGATTATATTTATATCATTTTCTTTGGTGCATTTATGTTATTGTCGAACCATCTTAGGTTAGGTTGAATAGATTTGAAGGTGCCGCAATACGAGCATGATTCTAATGGAGGATGGTAACCTAATCTATTATATCCTAACAAATAAACTCAGAGTAGTAGTTTAATTTAGTTCAAAATCACCAATTATCAGAAAATTTCAACTGATCGTGATATACTTTTACCTTACAGGAGAACCAAGCATTTGTTACTGGTACGATGAAGATGGAATTTGCGAAGAATTCGAAGAGCCAAACTCCATTGACTGTAAAATCGAAGCTACAAAGTTATATCTACAGCAATGGGCAGTCGATGCAACTTCTTCGTCTGCTGCATTAGAAGCGCATTACCTTTTCTCTAATATGGGGGTTTGTTCCAGCAGTACATCGGTAACTGGCCCTCCAGATTCTGCATGTGGTAGCCAGAATGGAGTCTGGTCGCCTTGTGTTAAACACGGATTGTCTGTAGATGCTGATGGACATTGGATAAAAGTAAGCTTGTTATTTATTTAGTTTTTATGCAAAATTGATTATATATACCCCAAGTTTTGAGGCAAAAATATACTTAATTCGCACATTCGCAAGAAAAATTAAGTGCAACAAACGGTATATTATACATGCCATAAAGATACAAATCCAAAACTTTTTTTAACAATATCGTTCTATAATTCCCGTTTTCAAATTTACAGGTAGTTTATCGGATTCCCGTTATTCCATCAACCGTTACAATTTACACAAATTCGAGAGAAGACGAAACTCGACAAGAAGGTTCGGTATCTGTAAATTTATTTACTTGTCTCATAAATGAAAGTTGTTAATAGCTTTGCAAATTTCGATGATATTTCTCTTAAATTAATCAGTCCAACCTGTTCTGTGCGAATGGGTGCATTAGCGCAATTTCAGACGCTGTGTGTAAACCATGAGGTCTGGAATGTTTGTTATGGTCTTGTTTGAAAGAATAGCTCATTTCCTACCCAGCAATATAAGAATGAACGTTATATGACATTTGGAAGTAATAAAATATCGCTTACATTTCACGAGTGTACTACCCGCTGCGATAGAAAAACGTCGCACAGCAAGAAAATAATTCAATAAACCTTGGCGTTGCGCGCTAACCAATAACAAAAGCTAGTATGATAAGGTCTTATTTTGAAGGTCCTTTTATATGCTACATAACATAGGAGAGTGGACATCTCACAACGTCGGGAAGGTATAAAAATATCGAGTCGTTTGATCGCAGCTGCCTCACCGAAAAAAAGTTAGTTCACATAGGCGTTTTATCTCGCAAATTCTCCTTGTCTCACGATTATAAGCTTTTATGATTCATAATAAATGTTTTATTATGACTCACAAAAGCTTTCAACGCGATAAAGCACAAACAAACAACCGATCGATCTATCAAGCCTAGCCTGGCCTGATTCGATGTGGTGACTTCTCAAACGGAAAATTTCCAAAACGCTTCAACGACACGAGCTAACGAAAAGCGTTTAGTATCATATGAAAGAGAAAACCAATGTGCAGTCAACTGTATAGTCACATTTGCGCTTTTCAATAGCTATACACGTCCAACAGATGATAGAATGAGAGAGTGTAAATATTTTTGTTATTTTTTGACGTTACGAGAGACCTCTTGAAAGAGGTGTTTTAGTTTACGGTCCTCCAGTGACATCTAGCGTATAGTACTCTAAAAGACCTTTCCAATGGTATATAATTATTGTATATTGGGTAAATTTTGGGGGTCGTATGACATTAATAAAAATGTATTCAAAATTGGGCTCGTTTGGGCGTCTGAATCAGGTTTTAAAAAAAACATTAAATTTTATTTTCCAGAATTTACACTTTTACTACCATATGGAGAAGAAATATCTTCCGGGTCGACTACAATATACTGCTTACAAAACCAGATTGAAATTGAAATTCCTGACAAACAAAATCCCCAAAAAATCAAAGACTTCATTTTAAAATTCAGGTGAAATTTAAAACTGGTGCATTTCGAGATTTAAATATTCAATTCAAACATTGTCAGCCGGTTCAAATTGCTAGTCTGTGGTATAATATCTTTCAAAGTCGCTGTTTTCAAATTAGTCACGTCAGAAAACTTCATAAATTTTAGACGCCTAATATATTTCGAAGTTAAGTGTTCAGTGTTTTTGTCCCCAGTGCTTTTTTGTACTAAAATCATAAGACATATATGAAAGAGATTATGAGTAAGAGTATGGAGATACTCGACGCCGTCACCTGGACGTTCAAGTAACTGCTGGTGGGACACCATGCCACTCAATTTCATGCATCGGGAACGAATTTTGGTTACCTATTCCTGGTCTGATAACCGCGTACGAGAGTCCGTTATTCACTTGTCCTAATGAATTTTCTCTCTTCAGGGTGGGTTTTATTATGCTATTGTATATAATATTATTAAAAATTTTGAACCACGTTCTTCTACTTTTTAGTTCCGACAACGTAACGATTGACGCAATTTCTCTGAGCTCCATGCGAAATCATGAAGAATTACCAGGTAATATTATAGTTGTAATTTTGTATACATTTCCAATATGAATGTTTATGGTTGCTACCACTACAGACATTGTAATATTCTATATATTTTTTAAATTACTGAATTTATTCAAAAAACGACTAATTTGTGTCTGAATTTGCCTTTTTTATAGTTTTGTGCATTTTTGATAAATCACAAAAATCAGTTTTACTTGCTGTAATTCAAATTAATTTTTTTTTACACACAGCACAAATTCCTGTATTATCGGAATGTCGATTGGACTTAAATTTTGTAAATTTTAATGTGACGTGTCATACTGAAACTGGGCTTTCTGTGGATGCCTCTGCTGGGAATACTTTGCCAAACAAAACTATCTGCGATGTCGTCTGCAATCCAGGGCACATACCAAGGTCTATTCAAAGGGTAAGTATTTCCGCAATACATGCCGATGAGTTACTACTGTTAATTCCTATTGCGTTATGTATCTTCTTTTTTGTCTCAAAGCAATTATTTGATTTAAAAATTTATGTCATGGATGAATTAAAAAGGTCGTGGTTTGAATTTAGTCTTCTTGATGACGTGTTACTCTAACATAATTTTGGTAATTGCAATTTATTTAGTAAAATCTCCAGTTTTTAGCATACCTTGTACGAGGTCATAAAATAACAAATTTTGTGACATGAAGTAGGCTTTAACTAATAAAAGTTTGAAAAGTTGACTAACATAATCAACAGGTAAGATGTCGAAATGGAGCATGGGACTCAAGTGTCAAATGTATACCGATATCATGTGGACCGCCTTCGCATGTCCAATTTGCATCGTTTTCATGTCAAAATGGACATAAATTGAACGCGATTTGCAATTTCACCTGTTGGAGACAAGCACGGTTGTTTGGATCTGATAACAAGGTAAGGCTTTCTGGAGTGTATGTATGTGTAACCAAGTCTCAAATTGCTTTATTTTTGCATATTTAAAATCTCTGAGAAAAGAGTTGTCAGTCTGGGCAAACATTATGCATATTTTATAAATAAATTTTTTGGATTCTGGTTTAGGCAGATAAATATGAAAGAAATGGGCAAACATGTGAAATTATTGCTTGAAAGATTCTTTTGATGATATTTCAGTTCCAATGTCAAAATGATGGTACGTGGTCGACACCATCAGCATATTGTGAACCTATGTGCGGGGCTCCACCTAACATAGGATTTGCAACTGCTGGTTGTGATACATTGTCAAAACGAGCATCAAGGCCTGGAGAAACATGCAAATATCGATGCAAAAACGGTTACCATGTCACACAACAACCGTTGTTGAGGTAAGTACTACACCAGAGGTGGGCAAGGTTTTGGAAGTGTGACGTAAAAGTTACATTTTATGAACAATATTTACAGTTTTACAAAAGCAAAAGTGGAAAACAATATAATTTAATCGCAATCTTAACAAATTAATAGAACTATTTTTCGCTAATACATCAACATTTGGTTTCAGTTTGGTTGTGGCAGCATCAGACGGGCCAGATTGAATTACCTAATGGGCCGGATTTGGCCCACTGGCCCTAATTTGCCCACCTCAGGACTACACTCTTGTAAAATAATGGCTGTTGTCATTTCTTGGACGCGATTCCTTAAATCACGATCCGGTGCCTGAAATATATATACTATGCATGGGGGAGGAATGTATGAATACCGATGGTCCCAAGGGTACTGTGCAACTGCCCCCCCCATAAAAAAAATAAAATTAAATCGAATTGAGATTGATAGCTTACCGTACCCACTATGGAAAGCGGATATCTGTAAAAACTAAATGTTAATGTTAGCTTATTAAGTAATGATTCTTGGAGAAGTAACTTCGGAGCTGTTTAAATTTCCGATTTTACAAAATATTGAAATGTCTCTCTAGATATCTGTATCTATTTGTTGATGGACTCGTCAATAAAGATGTAAACACCCTATATTATTTTATCAATTTACTTGCCAATTTCCAGGAGAACTTTCCGACTTACTTGTGGTTCAAATGGTGTATGGGAAGGTCCAGGATGTCAGCCTGCACTTTGTCCACCAGTTCCCCAAATATATAAAGGACTTTACAAATGCACGCAAGGATTTGTGTATGGAAGTGAATGTACTATGTCATGTAACCCTTCGGAGTCAGCGGTAAATGACCTATGTTTGTTTTCATAACTTTTAGGCTCAGATAATACCTATTTATTTGAATTTAAATAAATATTCAGCGATGTTTATGGGAAAAATTGATTAAAATCATAATTGAAAACCAGCAATTTCAAATTATGGAAAATACGACCCAACTATTTTGTAATATTGATTAAAAATTTAACACTGAGTAGTCCCATTTGGGCAACAATCCCATTCGTTGACACCTAAAATTCAATTATGACATTGAGATTGTCCCAAATCATACATATTTTTATATGGACTTTATATATATGCGTTCCCCGCTTTTCTATTATTCATTTATTATTTTTCCTTCTCAAGTCCATTTTTATTTAGACTATGGCATCAATACGTTGTGACAGTAATGGCAAATGGAATGCAAGTTTTCCAATGTGTGCTAATATTAATACAACATGTCAATTTCCACTCGCTCCTCCTGGTATTGAGATCGCATGTGACGGATACAATACGGGTATGTAGGACAGCAATAATTAGGTTTAAAGAATCATCTTTCATCTTTTTTTAGTAGTTTATATCTCGAAAAACATCAAATACTTATGTTATTTCAATCCATGCACTATTTTTCTTCATTAAGTACGTAACAACCGCTAAACCTATTCGCTTCAATTTGCAGAATATAGATTTGATATCCAATTATATTTAGTAAAGTACTTAATTTGTCTACAACTAGTAATTTTGTTTCATTTGAAAGCATTTTCATAATATCTAATGATCTATAATCTAATGCTCTAATATTGGTATGGGAGTATATGAATGGGCAGTCAAATTACATAAATATATGTTGAATATAATTTTTGGGCAACTGAGGCTAGTTGAATGAACAGCCGCATAGAAGAAAACCCCTCCGAAGTATAACATGCCTGACATAAACATTGTATTTGCAACTTAATAGATACTGGTGAAAGTCAATTTTCAACATATAATACCTATTTAGATCAGACTTGTTGAAAGTCCACTTTCAATAATTAATACCTTTTTAGGTCAGACATGTCGAGCAAGATGCGTTTTGAAGGACGGTCTTCCAGCTTTCGATATTGTTGCTATGAACGATAAATCAGTATTACCAGAACCCAACAGAAAAAGCAAATTATTGGTGTGTCTTGGAGATAGGTATATATTTGTGTTATTTTATCAATTTTAAAAGTTTACCTATTGTACGTTTATGTATGGCACGTAAAATCACTTATAAAGTTTAAAGAGGCGTGTCAACATTTTTGCTTCGAACAAAGCTGTGTGAAGTGGTGGACATCCAAAATTGAGTCACATTTGCCTTAGAAATTTTAACTTAGATGATAGTTTTGTAGTGAAAACGAAATATTTTAGGCTCAAAACGACCTAAAAAATGATTTTCCGTTGTTGCTGAGGGCAATTCCAACTCACTACATACTTTTATCATTGCACGTCTTTACTAATAAGCGAGTTCTTGTATTTTTGATACATGCAAACTTGTTTCAGCTGGTTCCCAAAACCAGATCAACTTTACTGTGTCGATGAATGTGACGCCCAATTTATTGGCGATAGATGGTGTGACAAGAATAACAACAGAGAATATTGTGGATGGGATGGTGGTGATTGCTGTGCCAGTACAGCAAAAGGAAAACGGGTAAATTCTCAAGAATAAAATTTATTTGTTCCGCTGTATTGGGAGTATTAGGATATTGTATATCAACTGTCCGTTCGTGTTGTCTTCCTTTCTATTTGATGTGGTAAATAAAATTAGGATAACCTTTTCCCGCGGAATAGCAAGTATATTTGTAAGCTTTGGTAAGCCAATGATCTTGTATTAATTCTTGATGATGATCTGATTTGCTCCTTATTTTTTAAGATCTGGCAAGGTATAATTGGTGTTTCATGTAACTTGTAATCAATCATATGTGCGGAGAATGTCAATAAGAGAAACAATAGTATAGATTTGCGAAAACCTCACTTTATAATTAAAAAAAAACAGGCCACGCAATATGAAAGCCTAACTTTATAATGACATTTAAAGTAATGAAAAAGTCATTGGCCATTTACGCCTTTTCTGAACGATGGTGATAATAATTGGTTTATGCGGGCAGTAGATAAATTTCTAGCTATTCCTTATGTATGTTGATACCAAAATCAACTTTATTTTTATTCGCCAATTCAAATGTTCAATAACTGTTTCTCAGAATGTTATTACTTTGTTATAAACTTGTTCATACTACCCCTCGCCCCTCCAAGCTCCGTTGTTTACCTCGAATTACAACCACTTGAATCTGGTGACCGAACTCCAAAAAGGGAACTGTTGAGTAGTGGTCATTGGTCAATGTACATCTTCGTGATTTTAAATCTGTACATCGCCCTCTTGCCACGACAATAACAAAAATACATTTTGTTTATAGTCAACATGTGCACACGAATGCGACTGCAAAGATCCAAACGCCGAAGAGAATAATCCAGTAATTGCAATCCTAGCAGGAAAGCAAACAGAACTTGACATGAGAAATCAAGTTGAACAATTCCGCGCTTCTGATAGTGGAAATATTAAAATCAAGGCTAGAGGGAGCAAAGGCAGAAGCAGTGTATCAGGTACGATGTAAAGTTTATCTATGCCATTTGAAATAGATTCTGTTTTTCTTCTTTTCAAGCAATTCAATTTCTTTTCTCTGCAGGTAGAGTTGGTAGCTTTGACATGGCTCGGAGAAAGAGAAAAAACAGAAGGCGTGAGAAACTTGAGTCTAGTCCTTATTTCGATGGAAGGTCAGCCAGAAGAAAATACAGAAATAAATCAAAAAGAATGAATGCAGCTTCGCGAAAACTGCGTCGGGAACGAAAAAGGTCAAGGGGGAAGCGTATCAGAGGTTGAAAAGATATAAATATTTCCTGCAGGCAGCGCCGGAATTCACTTTGATCGCGCAGTCGAGTCATATGCGCAGTGTGATACTTCAAGAAGCAATGCGATTTTTATATAGCCTTCAAATTTATTCTTCAAGCTGAGTGTGTCGTGAAGCCATAACTGATTTGCGCTTTGTACTATTATTGCTTGCCACAGTAATGCTTGCCATTTGAGAGAACAATGCGATTGATGTTTTATAACATTTTTAGATATTTCTGTGTCTATATATTATATAAATCATATAATACACACGACCAGGTTTCTATATCAACATATCACTATTATGAACGCAATCATATTTTTAGACTAAACTTATCGGCAAAAAGAAGAAAATGTCAAGACTCATGGAAAGTGCATTTGAGATCGATTTTAAAATTTGAATATGAAAAAATTATCATTTGTTGCATTTTCATATAATATATGTTTTCTTCAATTATCCTTAACATTAATAAGTTTAAAACTAATCACTGTTAGATAAATGGAAAACTCAAGTCATTGTTTAGTTTACATTTTGTTTTAATTCAAAAAAAAAATACACCTATATGAGTAATTTTTTAAATACTGTGACTTTTATTTGAAACTGTCTATTTAAAAAAGTAAAATCCATTTGATTATGTTCCTACAGTACTGACCTGTTCAAAACCAAATAAACGCTAATTCAAATCCGCTATTCAAAGTCAATTATACTGTATAATATAATGATTAAAAATCATGCCGGAATAACTTTGACATATTTGGTATGAGAAACACAATATGTCGAATATAGTGGGTCTGTCCATTTTATATTGTTATCTCGCGTTTTTATATTAACTGAGAATACTATAATCTTTTTCCACGAAACACACAAATAAAAAGAGATAATTTTATTTCACTTATTACTATCTCCTTGAAGCATCCTTGTGACAGGCCACATATGTACCTGCAGTTCAATACACAACATTTTTGTACCACCTGATTTCACCTTGAATCATTTCATCTTGATTAAAACTCCATAAAAGTATACGTGAATGACAATGATAGGTTTGAATACTCAAATGTGTTTTTTTTTGTTTACAACCCGTGAACCAAAAGTTAGTTTGATTATAAGCTATATATATCAGGGTAAAGTCAAATGCAAAGTATCGTATGATCACAAACAAACGGTATGAGAAACACATAACGGACGGTAAGCGAATGTGAAAATGAGAAGAAAAATTGTTTCATCCATTTGATCATAAACTTTTAGATATTGTTATTTTCGGAACTGATCGGATTTGTCACAGAAACATTTCTCTTTATTTGTTAAAATATAAGTTATCATTTGCTCCAATTTTTCCCAATCTATTGGGAATTTTAAATTATAAAATTAGATGTAGAAAGTAGTAGAAAGTTGTATTTTAAATGGTATATCAATAAAAGACGATATCAAATATTCAAATGTTTACGGATGGTAATTATAAATAAAAAAATAATATATATTAGCTTGAAATGTAGGCACTGGATGTCATTGGTGTGAATTACAATTTGTTTTCGATAGTAAATTAAGTGCGTTTCGTTTTTTTCTTCTTCTCAGAAATTAGGGATTTAAAATTCTTTTCTGTTATGTTTTGTCTTGTTATTAGCACAAAACGTGAGAATCAAACGAAATAATAATATTTTACTCTATTATTTCAAGTACATCATGGTCACGCTAACTCTTGGCTCTTCCTTAAATATAAATAGCACATCAAATTACCCTGTATTGTTTCTCAAACACCTTTGCAGCGTCCTAAATTTCTTCAACAAAACTTGTCCCACCATCTTCGAAGTAGTAAAATATCATGTTTTTTTTTTTTGAACATTTTCACATAAAGTGAAGTTGCTAACACTTACTCAGAGGCGAATCGCGCATATGAAGGCACAAGATATCATTAGAAGAAATTTATGAACAAATCGTAACAATATCGTTAAGATGATTAGCCCGGTCAAGAGATCTACTTTCAGCATAGTTTCATATCTAAACCATGATAATTTCAGACGTTCCTACAATTGAGCAACTCATATTATTTGTTAATATTTTTTTCTTTATTTCAATTTATATTACTGTTATCATTATTACCGCATATTTATATTGATATATAATTTCAAATTAAATAAATCGGTTTTCTTGTCCTTCTTTTAGTATCCTAGTTTAGTCGGAGATCAATACTATTCTCGGAAGTCGGAAATATTTATTTTTACCCAAGATAACTTAGATTTTACATGAGAACACCAGCCTTCGTCATTTTGTCTTGGCTATTCAAATTGATAAATGTGTATTACGATTCGAAGATATCGCGCGCAAAGATTTTATAGTGTTCAAATAACATTTGATGGGAATCTGCGTCTTGATGGCAACTTTCGTCCGTAAGGAACCTGTATATTTGAAGTATTATTATTAGATGTTTGAAGCTGGAAACAAAAAGGATATTATCAATGAGTTTCCCAATATACTTTCCTGTATTCGATATCATAACCCGATTACATAATAAAATGTAAGTTACGGTATATGGAATAGTAGGCCTATATGTTAATCTCTAAATATAGTTTTGAGCTTTTGGTAATTTGGTGCAGCCTGTCAAATATATCTCGACTTCATCCCAGCCATCTCCCATTCCAATTAGTCTGTTATGGATTCGTAAAATGTCGGCAGCAGATGGACGGTTGTTTCGCATGGAAACCCAGACATTCCGATAATCTGAACAGAATAGCAACAAAAATTGTACTGTCCGAAGAAGTTACAGACATGTGTAGAGATATCCTGGCGGAAGTTTATAAATTTTATTTTATTTGAAACATGCTATTCCTGAAATGATGTCGGCTTAATAAAGAAAAAAGGCTTTCACGTCAATTTTCTTGAAATAGCATAGCAAATACCCTTGAACATAGGCAATTTAATTTTGCAATTAATTTGATGGTAGATAATTAAAAAGAGTTTATTACTAAATACAGGGTGAGATCGAGATCATTTGAAACATTGTCTACAGAGGAAACATAACTTTTGTATAAATCGCTTTAGATTACTGAAAACGTTGAGTACAATCATAAACAAACAAATAGAAGTTAAATAAATTACCTTCATTTTCGTAGAAGTAATAAGGTAATTTATGGGTTCAGTTTTTTTTGGCTAATTATGTATATTAATATAAGATTACCTGTACTATCACACTGCATAAAGATCACATAATTTTCATAATCCGTTACATATGTTATAGGATTGGTGAAAAATCCGTCAAGTTCTGAAATGAATTTAAAAAATAGTTACGTTTTAAGGTATAATGCTTCATTCTAACAAAAGAAAATGACAAAAATTTCCATTTCAGCAGTGTGTAGTCACTGCACTAGCACTAATAATGTTCTATTGAGTAAAATCAGAAAGAAAGAATCACCCTTCATTGCATTTCCTTTTGCTCCACCTCCTACAGCTTCATCAATCCCCAAAAATTCTTAATTCAAATGCGGATAAAAATGAATATCAAAAATAAGAAAATTGCTATTCAAAGTCTCTATTAGTGTACGTTATCCAAGCCTAATGAGTAAGGGAATACCAGGTAGGAATACCAATAGGTTTTAAAATGCTATTTAGTAATATCTCATTTAATTTATTCAAGTCTAAACACATGCATTGTGTACTTTCTTTCCATCTATTTTTACTTGAATCCTTTCTCCATTATTTTCTATGTCAAAATAAGTCTTTAACACGATACACTGACATAATAAATAACGGTATTGAACTTACTATAACGTGAGTCAAACGTAAACCTCGAGTTTCCTCTGTCAATCCAATGCGCAGGCATAATGTGCGGTGTATACGACAAAGGGAAGCTTTCACTAAATAAATGACATTAATTATTTCTAAAAGATTTTATATTCCAATCTTGCAGTTTATTACTTGCTTTTAATTTATTATATTAGAATGTCAGTCGACTTAATTTGCTCGTAGGTTACACCTTTTCAACAGTTTTAAGTAGTTTTCGTGAACCGATATTCATCAACTGCATTATATATAAAGTCTACTTATGAGTACTCACTTGGACTCGACACTATAGATCACATCTTCCATATAACCACCTTCTGGTGTTGATTTTAAATTTCGCATAGTAAAACAGTTGACGTGATCATCGTAGGCATCGTGCGAATTCATAATTTGATACCACGTACCTGGTAACTGTAAACGAAATTCGAAAATAAAACAGTTTGTCTAATAACATTACCGCTGGTTCATGTTACCCTACCGGGCGTCTGTTCCTACAATAGTCCAATCTTAATGCCGATGAGGACAGTACTATTATATGATGAAGTGGAAACAATGATGAATTTCTCGTTTTTAAATAATTTTGAGCTTCATAGTTTAACGGTTTAACTGATGGTTCATGTTACCCTACCGGGCGTCTGTTCCTACAAATCCCAATCTCAATGCCGATGAGGACAGTAGTATTACATGATGATTATATAATATTATATATAGACAATCGCTGATCGCGTGTTCCGAAACGTATTGGCAAATGTTCTGGTAAATTTGGACATAACTATATCGTTTCAAAAATGGTAACAATAGTAAGCATAATCTTGGAATATCATATTTTCCTGGGAGCCATATGCCTTAAGCTTAACCAAAAGAGCCATATATGGCTCGAAAGCGATGCCATAGAGGCTAATAAAGCTACATATAATCGACTAGTTTGACTGTAAATATATGCTACTACGAGGTTTGACGGAACTTCTCTAAACTTCTTAAAAAGAGATCTAGTCCTCTCTTCAACTGGAAAGGTGTATAATATATAATTCAACATATATTTACCATGTTCCAGTCTACATCTTCAACTTCTGGTAAAACACACGATCCGTTGCTATCTGGATTTGCAGTTGCCAATGCTTCACAAAACAAACAGACTACGACGAATATTCTTACCCACATGTTGCTGTATGTCCCCATACAACACGACAACTAAGACGCAAAATGAAATACTTGTATTTTTCAGCGTTCCCTTTTGCGATTGATACAAAAATGTCGATATGAATGTAAACAAGAATGCAGACAGACTTCGCTACCTATATCCTGAAGATTTAGGTCCAGGTCGCAGACACTGCAGTTGCGCGTATTCACTGAAAAATCTGAATTTTAAATCAAACCTATATTTTCGGTTAGGGTTTGTTCTGGAACAATTCATTATAGATAGGGTTGCCCCTTTTTTTGACTTCAAAGCGGGATGCCTCCAAAGACACGACTCCTTAGCTGTGATCCTGATCCTTCACAGTTTCCGATTTTACTACATATGCCTACATTCAAAGCCATCCCTGCTGTCTCTATTGACCATATTGTCATCGAGAGGTCATGCGCATATTCTCTGTCTAAATATCGGGTTCAGTTCGAAAAATAGAAAGGAATATACCCTAACGATGCAAATGATCCGAATTTAGATTTTTTATGTACAGCATAGAATAAAGAATAATGAAATAGTCTTGAGAATTTACTTTTTCGCCCAAGCATGCTTTTCTGTAGATAACGTCTTCAAAAAGACGTTGTTTCAGTCACGTGAACGTCCGAACAGGACCAATTAGAATTGATTTTATATATGATACGTTCGCTAACAATATTAGCGGGAAACAACGAAACAAACAATTTCACAAAAGTTTAAAATACCAGGGGGATCAAGTTACATATTTTGCACAGATTAAATTTTGGCTCAATTACACTTTCAAATCAAAATGTAAAAGAAAATCGCGCCGTGGTTCCGTGATCGTATTTCAGCGATCTCGTGGTCAGACTAAATTAAAGCTACTGTAAAGGTTTGATGATATTTCGTGCCCCTATATTTGAGCATTGCTCTCGTATTTTACCAATGATAATTTAGTATAATTTAGCTATTCAAATTGATAAACAGCACGTTTATTGTGATTCAAAAAAAAATGCTGCGCAAAGATTTTGAAGTGTTTAAAATAACAATTGATGGGAGTGTGCCTTTGATCGGCAATTTTCGGAAAGGGTTTGTAAGAAACCTGTATATGTGAAGTATTATTATCAGATGTATGGAGCTGGACCCAAAAGAATGCTTAAAATAGTGTTGCCTAAGCGCCTAAGATAGCGCAGTGGGTTTTGGGATCCCCCAAAACAGCGCTCTTACTCCATAGTGACACCTTGTGTCCCATCACTAATTAATTAATAACTCGCTAATTATACGACATAATTCATCCAAAATCAATAGGCTTTTGGTACGACATATGATAAATGCACATGCAAAATCTGGAGCAGATTCAATCTCGCTTTCGTGAGATATCGCGTGCATTTAACAGACAGACAGACAGACAGACAGACAGACAGACAAATAACTATCAACATACTTACCGATTAAAATCGATAAGTAATTACCTGGACCAGTAGGCCCATATGTTAATCTCTAAATATAGTTTTGAGCATTTGGTAATTTCCTGCAGTCTGTCAAATATATATATCTTGACTTTATCCCAGCCATTTCCCATCTCAATTAGTCTGTTATGGATTCGTAAAATTTCAGCAGCAGATGGACGGTTGTTTCGCATGAAAACCCAGACATTTCGAGAATCTGAAAAAAAAGCAATAAAAATTGCTAACGTCTGTAGATATTATACACATGTTGAAGAAATATCCTGACAAAATATTTTTGTAAGGTTTATAAATATATGCTAAAACTTTTATTTTGAAACAGTATGTAGCGCTTTATGAAAAGAAATGGCTTTCACATCTTCTTTTTAAAATAGAAAATTTCAAAAGGCCAGAACCGAGATCATTTGGAACATCGTCTATCTAGAGACAACATAACGTTTACATACATACGCTCATGGTTACTGAAACCTTTGACTACAATCATAAACAAACAAATAGAGGTGGGTCAATAACGTGGGTCAAACGTAATTCTCGAGTTTCCTCTCTCAATCCAATGCTTAGGTATAATGTGCGTTGTATACGACAAAGGATTCCTAAAAGATTTTAAATAACAATTTTGCAGTTTATTGCTCGCTTCCACATTTACTATATTTGTCGGCGTAATTCGCTCGTAGGTTACATCTTTTCAACGGTTCTAAGCAGTGGACCGATATTCATTAACTGCATTATATATAAACTTATGAGTACTCACTTGGACTCGACACTATAGATCACATCTTCCGCATAACCACCTTCTGGTGTTGATTTTACACTTCTCATAGTAAAACAGTTGAAGTGATCATCGTAGGCATCGTGCGCATTTATAATTTGATACCACGTACCAGGAATCTGTGAGCGAAATTTAGAAATAGAATAGCCTGTCTAATAGCCGTAACACAGTGTCAGTGTGTATTAATTTTTATATGATAAGCAAATTTCAGAATGTTTTTTGCATAACTGATTGATGACAATATACTTCGGAGTCACTGTTCTTATAGGCTTAACGCCAAGTGAGCGTTCCTGCCACAATTGAAAAATAAATTAGAATACGTGGTTTTGTTGCTACCCATTCATCAGTGCGTTAGAAAGAATACTTTTTTGACTCATGTAAAGCCGTAGTATTCATGAATATCATGCAAAATGACCAACCATTGAAAGTACTAAGTAGTCCACCATACGAAGTCTTATGATTGTCACAATATGATAATATTACGATAATATGATAACTAGACAGCGATCGGAGACCGCCGACTTATCGATCTTCCGCATGTTCAATATGTTACTCGACAATTTTGACGGAGTACGATTCAAATGTGGTATTCTCCCAAATTGCAATCTATCCGTTGGCCACATTCTGAATAATTTCTCCTGCAGAAACACACAGCAGTATTTCGCCGAAAATATTAAACTATGTGGTTAGGTAATTGGTTGTTATAAACACTGTGTCATGATCCGAATAATACGTGTCCACAATATCAACAACAATGCTGTAATCCGTACAATTTCTATTAAAATACATGTGATCAAGCAAAGACCCATAATCTGTGGTCGCGCGATTGGTGGGAATATATTGTCGGAAACCAAGCTCATTCATTTTTTCCATGATAGAAGATGATCGATTATGGAAAATATTATCATTAAAATCTCCCAAGATGAATGTTGGAGCTCCTTGTGGTATGAAGGTCATTAATTCAGACAATATGTTAAGAAATTCCAACTGCGGAAAACTCGGTGGTCTGTAAATTAACAACAAAGTGAATTCTTTATTCGTGGAAGTTTTCAGTCGAATCATTTTATGCTCAAGCACATTCGAAGATGTTTTTATTTCAACTGGGTTCAGCTTTCGCGAAGCACAGACTAATAATCCGTGCTTTCCACCATGATTTTGTTCACTGGGTACGTCTTCTCTAAAGGAAACGTAGTCAAATTTGTTGGTGAATTTGTCTATGTTGTGGCGTTCCGTCAAATATGTTTCTGTGAAACAGCAAATATCAGCATGACGAAAAATTTCACCCTCTGTATAAGAAACTATATCGTCCATCTTCTTTAAAAAGTACCTTATGTTTAAATGACCTATCGTTGACCAATTTGATTTATTTAAATCTGTCAATGTGGGTGGACGTTGGTGTGCTATGGGCATTGTACGCATGTTATTCATCACTTCAGAACACTCAGAACTACATCGGATAGTACAGGGATCAAAATCAGTCAGATACAAATTTTCCAACTTTCTAACCCGGGACAAAGCGACATAAACTTGCCCACAGCCAAATTTCTTTCCCTTTGTGTTGACGACAATCTTATTTAAAGTAATACCTTGACATTTATGAATTGTGACGGCCCAACCAAGCGTCAACGGAAACTGGTATCGGGAAACTTGTGCTCCTTTGCCATATGCCTTTTCGAATTTGGCTTCCCTGCGTGTTATCGGCACGAGGCGGGGGTGTTGCCTTTTCCATCTACTCTTAGCCATAGCTTTTCGTCCAACATTATCGTTGTCAAACTTAATCAAAATGCTGATTACAAATTCTTTGTCATTTTTTGCAATATATTGAACGGTACCCATTACTCCATTCACCAAACCGTCACTCGTGTCTATATTATAAAGCAACATGACTCTACACCCAGCAGCAATTTCCAAGACGGTGTGCAAACCGCCGGTTTTGCATCTTTTTAACTTTAAACCAGATGCACGCAAACTAATTAGAGACAACCCCTCCCTTTTGTCATCTATGGCCGGTATCACAATTTTTTCGGGCCCACTTTGAATCAACTTATTCAGTTTGAATAAATTCCAGTTATCTACGTCGTTGTTGTAAGCAAAAACGTGCAATGCCTCCTCTGGATAGTTGAGATCGGAAAGATGAATCTCCCTTGTGCGCAGTGTATCTATGTCGGCTCGTGTTTGATTTCCCAATCGAATCCGACATAACAATTCTGCAAAATTTCTATCGTTTTTTTGGCGCATAATTTCATCTAATTCGTGCAAGTGGAAATAGTCATTCCAAAGAGACTGACCCAGGCGCATAGTTTCATCAGAAACAGGACAAAATATTTGAGGCTGACAGACCGGAGGCAATTGGAACAAATCACCGACTGCTAAAACAGAAACGTTTCCAAATGGAGCCGCATTTCCCTTGATCACTTGCAGGCGTTTGTGAATGTTTAAAAGCATGTCTGAACTTACCATGGAGATTTCATCGATAATTAATACACGTAATCTGCCAAGATGAGATCGCAAAGTATTCAGTTTTTCGAAGGATATGCCGTCGTGTCCACTGCTAGCTTTCCTATTTGTTAACAGTAGTGCAGAATGTATAGTTATACCATCTATGTTGAATGCAGCAACGCCTGTTGGAGCACAAAGGAGGCAAGTTACATCATTCGGATCGACAGTTCTTGAAAGAGCGAAATATCTTCTTGTATCGTGCTGAATCAATTTTATCACATGTGATTTCCCTACTCCACCAGGACCACTTAAGAAAATTCTATATGGTTCAACAGAACCGTTTTGT